ATACCAACACTTAGGAGAGCTTTTCTTCAAGGAAAAAGAAGGAAAGAACCTCATTCTGAGATATAAAAAAATGAAAGCATTAATATGACAAAAAAAAGCAGCGACTTTCTTAAAAACCATGATTTAATCGTAAGCAGTACAAAACAAAGCGCTGAGAAAGTGGAGAATATTAAAATTCTGAGGTAAGAAACCCTTGGCAGTTTAGTCTCTTCAGTCTTTCTAATCACTCTGCTTGCAAAAGGCTCAATGGGACCCTGCCTCAGAATAAAAGGGAATTAGATAAGCATACTAACAATCAAAAAGCCTTTTATTTTTACCCTATTTAAGTAGAACTAAATTTTGGCAAACTCTGTTGATCAAACTCAAAAATCTCATTTCTCCTAAGAAAACTGCAAGGTAAAAATTACCTGCTAACCACTGTACAGCACAGGAGCTTCCCAGTATGTAGTTCACCTCAGTTCAAGATGGGCGTGCTATCTAAACAAGGTGATAACCAGCACTGTGGCTTTTTGTTAGCTAGGCTTTAACTGTTCAGAGGGGCTTACCAAGTTGCCCTTACATCTAAGTGACTAGGGAAAACAGCAAATTTAAGAGTCAAGAAAATCTTTCCAGGATACAAGATGAAACAAATGATCTTGATCCTATTCATACTGAAATATTTTGAGTCAAATGTATCTCTCACATACACATGTACATGAGAGAAAAAGAAAGGCAACTATTCTGGGAAATAGATTAATTGTAGGTAAGTTATTTTTCAGAAAATATCAGCTGGCAGATGGTCAGGATGAAGAAACTCTAGAAACTCAATTACATAAGCTCACTGCCTCTTAAAATCCCAACTATGGGGCTAAGAATATGGCTGAGTGGTAGAACACTTACCTAGCATGAGCAAGACTATGGCATCTATTCCTCAGTACGGAAAAAAAGGTACCATTTACGGTATAATTTGGTCAAAGCAAGCCAACTTTTCTTGTCTTTTATTTTTATTTTTTTGGCCCTGGTCCTGAGGCTTAAACTCAGGGCCTGGGCACTTTCCCTGAGCTTTTATGCTGAAGGCTAGCACACTTAACACTTGAACCACAGCTCCACTTCCTCCTTTTTTGGGAAGATAATTGGAAATACGAGTGAGTCTCAAGGACTTTCCTGCCCACGCTGGCCTCAAACCTCCATCCTCAAATCTCAGCCTCCCAACTAGCTAGGATTTTAGGTGTGAGCCACTGGTGGTGCTCAGCTTTTGTCTATCCTTTTAAATGGGAGTTGGTAATTGACCAGTACCCTTTCCCCACAAATGAGAGATTCTCCCACTTGAATCTTCAAGACTAAGGCTAATTGGCAAAAGAGGTGTCATACTTTTTTGGCAAAAGGAGCAAACTAGTTAATCTTAAGGACAAAATGGGACCAGTCTCTTAGGTGAAGCAGTAATAAATGGCTCACAAAAACACAGCTATTTGACAGGGCAAGAGGGACTGTATTTGATTATCAACAAACTTTGGATCTTATGGAAACAGAAAAGGATAAAAACAAGAACAAAACCCCCAAACTGCCAAAATACAAACAATACATAACAACTTCCAGATTTCTTATTAGCTTCCAGTCTTAGAAAAGAGTGGTTTAGTCAGGTGCTGGTGGCTCATGCCCGTAATCCTAGCTACTCAGGAGGCTGAGAGCTGAAGATTGCAGTTCAAAGCCAGTCTGGGCAGAAAAGTTGGTGAGACTTTTATCTCTAATAAACTTTCCCCAAAATGCTGAAAGTGAAGCCCTGTCTCAAGTAGTAGAGCACTAGCCTTGAGCAAATGAGGCTCAGAGATATTATCCAGCTGAGTTTAAGCCCCAGGACCAGCACAAGAGTGAGAGTGAGAGAGGAGAGAGAAGGTAAGAGGGAGTGAAAAAGAGAGGGAGAAGGTTTTCTAGGATTGAAAAGCAAAGTTTGTTCTACTGGAACAAAATGAGAATGAGAATGAAGCCAAGTGTGGGCTCGAGCCTGTAATCCTAGTTAGCTGGGAGATGAGAGCCAGGAAACTTTGTGAGATTCCTTCTCAACCAATGACTGATATATGTCTATTATCAAAGCTATAGGGTAAACACAACAGCTGGGTGCCACTGTCGTCACCAGAGACACAGGAAGCACAAGCAGGAGGAACACAGCCCAGGCAGACCCAGGAATAAAGCATACCTTGAAAATAGCCAATGCAAAAAGGGCCTGGAGGTAAGGCTCAAGTGGTATAGAACACTTGCTAAGCAAATCTAAGTCCCCTATGACCTATTTTCATGTAAAGGGCTGCAGTGCTGGAGAGGGATCTATGATATCATGTTCAGACAGTATCTGAGAGTCAAGCAATATAAGAATGGGGGTGCTCTGACCCCGGTAGCAAAGAAAACTTATTCAAAGCCACCGAAGTATAGGGATGCCCTGTCTAAGGAATGAACCACCATCTTCCACCTAAAGACAGAGTTTTGTTGTTGCTGCTGTTTCGATAAACACAGGAATTAGACAATTATTGTAAAGACACAAATATCCTCTAAAGGGTCCGACTCCAGAACTAGTCCAACCCTTTAACTACATTTACGCCTGAGTCACAGACCTTATTACTGAACCACCAATATCAGATTACCGTACCAAAGCCTTTCCATACCTCTCACAGAACACCCCACAGAACATCACCAATAAGTTATGAGGAGGAAGAAGAAGAGAGTTGAGAGGGAGTCCATGTATTTCTCCATCAATGGCCTAGACCAAAACTCTGCACTTATTGAAAATTTTAAAAATGTTTACTTTTTGATGATTTTGTCTTCTTTTATGTATGGTGTATTCAAGTGTAAAAGTGCAGCAGTGAAGCTCACTGGACACTGATGAAAGTGAACTTTACAACTCATGGGCAAGGACAGGAGGGAACAAAAGACATTGTATGAAAGGAAATGGCCCTGACTTATGTAACTGTAATCCCTCTGCACATCACCTTTATAATCATAAAGTAAATTAATTAAAAAAGAATTTAAACATAAAAAAGGAAAATTTTATTTTTTATTTCAAGATCCCTCAAGATGAAGAACATAGGAGACCAGAACTTCAAGAAGACATTATGAAGTTTGTAATGCCTAGATGAGATCATGGCTTCTGGTTAGAGTTGAAGAAATGAGAACTGGGTGCTGGTGGTTTACACCTGTAATCATGGCTACTCAGGAGGCTGAGATCTGAGGATTGAGGTTCAAAGCCAGCCCAGCCAAGTCCATGAGATTCATCTCCAATGAAGCACTCACCCACACCCACACAAAAGCCTGAATAAAAGCAAAAAAGCTCACAGACAGCACACAAGCTCTTGAGTTCAAGCACCAGGACCAGCAAAACAACAACAACAACAACAAAACCAAAAGCCAAGGTCCACCTTTCATAGTAAGGGTTACACTTGCATCTGGGGAAATAAGTCATACTGGGTATCACTTGAGGAGGTTTTAGTTTGAAGCAATTTGCATCATATCATCAAGTTAACTCAAGTAGCAAATTAAATTTGATGAGATTTTCTTTGTTTTGTCATTCCTCTTTCCAACCCCAGGCAGAGATATTTAATGTGAATAAAGGAATTTTACCTAATAGGTTATAAAAACTCCTTCAGATGAATTTACGCCTGGCTTTCAGTTTTCTCCCACTTAGTTGTTACTCCTCTTGTAGGGTCTGATAATGTTATACAATAACAATTACAAGTAGTCTTTCAAAATAGTGCAGACATAATCTGTTAGATCCCAATGGTAATATATTTGCCGCAGAAAGAAACTTGTTTCTAATATCCCTTTCATGTCATAATAAAATATGTCACGTAAGTTCATGGGAAATGGTTGTCCTCATTTCTTTTCAATGAAAGTAAGTCTAGTAGGAGCATTATTAACCCAAGGCGTTGAGGGTGGCTGGCCGGACAATGGGCAATTTCCCGGCTCTCTGCAGAGGCCTAAATTTCAGGAAGAGAGAGGAAATATTTCTTAAGGCTAGGGGATCCTGAAGACTTGGGAGTTCCAGTGACTCTCTTCAAGACAAATTCATTACATAAATACTCACAAGTTTTGTGTGTGTGTGTGTGTGTGTGTGTGTGTATTTCCCACTTCTCTGGTTGCAGGATTAAATTGTTCTTTGTAAAGTGTGTGTGTGTGTGTGTGTGTGTGTGTGTGTGTGTGTGTGTGTGTGTGTGTGTGTGTGTGTGTGTGTGTGTGTGTGTGTGTGTGTGTGTATTTCCCACTTCTCTGGTTGCAGGATTAAATTGTTCTTTGTAAAGTGGCTACAATGGGTTTGAGGAAAGCCCACTCAGCAGGAAGGGAACAGGAAAAACCTCAAACGAATAGTTTTCCACTTTCTTCACCAGCTCTTTTCAAGCACATACTAGGAGATCGGGGACAAAGAATTTAAAAAAAAAAAAACCACAAAACAAAGGAAGCTCGGATCCTCCACACCGAAAAATGCATAGATGCATTTAATAACTGCTGGTAAGCAGCACCGTGGAGTGCGGGGAGCTGCGCGTGCATTTCGTTTTCCGGGGGAAACGCGCAGTGGACGGACGAGCTGGCGGATGGAACGCTGGGGAGGCAGAAACTTGGGCGCTGACACCCGCTGCGCCCCGAGCTGAGCCGCCGGCCCGGGGCCCGGCCCCGCGCGCCGCTGGAGCTAGGAGTTCCCTCTCCTCCCACCTCGCTACCACCGGGCCGGGGAAGAGAGAGAGAAAGCCAACGATCGTCCCGGACGCGCGACCCACCAGCAGCGCGGAGCCGAGCTCCGTGGCGGTCCCCCGCAGACCTAGCCTGCCCCCTCGGCGCTCCCTCCGCTCCCGCCCGGGCCCTGGGGACGCGCCGCCCGCCCGCCCCGCCCGGAGGCCTCCCCCGGCGCTCCGGCTCCCGGCGCCCACGTCTCCGCGGGCTCGGACTCCCGCTGGGCCTGCGGGTCCCCGGGCTGCGGCCGGCGAGTCGTGCGTCCGGGGCCCAGGTCCCAGCGGTCCTCGTGACGGCCCCGCCTCACTCACCCTCCGTCACCTCCAGCACCTTGATCTGCTCCTCCGCCGCCGCCCGCACCTCCTGCACCGGGGACAGGATCCCGGTGAGCGTATCCACCAACGCCTCCTTCAGTCCCTGTGCGACCGGACCCGGCAGCCCCGAGGCCGTACCAGCTGCTGCCGCTGCCGCCATCTTCGCCCCCCGCCCCCAGCAGCCCGCCAGCCCCGCGGCCGGGACCCGCCACTGTATGACGGCTCCCGCGTGCGGCCAATCCGCGAAGCTGCGCCTGCGCACCAGCGGACGCAGGCGCGGTGGGCGTGGCATGGGTCTAAGCCTCCTGAGACAGCGCCCCCTGCCTCCTGGGAGAGAACTGCACGTTTGTTGGCAATGATCGGTGGGTTTGGGGGGAGGGTCCCAGAGAGGTCAGTGGCTTCCCCAAAGTCTCACTGTGCGTTAGCGGGCTCACTGAGAATAAAGGCCATGATATATGTTTAACTCTGCGGGCCTTTCGAAGATAAGATTCTGTGTTAAGAGAGAAGTGGGGTGGAAATGGATGTACTAGGGGACTTTAGGAGAGGGTCTGGATCAGACATAGCATCTACTTCAAATTGCCCCCACCCACTCTCACACAAAATAAATGCTCACTTTTCCTTAATTCGGGGATCTATACCACATAGAATGTTTTCCTTTTTGCTTATGTGGTGCTGAGGAATCGAACCCAGGGCCTCATACATGCAAGACAAGAGCTTTACCACTGAGCCACCTTCCCAGCCCCACAGAATCATTTTTATGTGACTGAATCCTATTAGCTGAGAACATTTAAGGTTCTTCCCCCCCCCCCGGCCCCCCCCCCCCCCCCCCCGGCCCCAGAAATGGCTGGTCCTTTGAGAGGTGGGAGGATAGGAGGAGGATAAGAATAGTTTGGTATAGCTCTCTGGGGTTGGTAGTAGACAGTGGTCTACCCTATGGAGATAATACCCTCAATCCGTAGGAAAGCAGGTGAAGGGTACTGGAGCAAAGGTTTAAAACTGCAGGACAGGGGAGCAAGCCTGTAATGGCAAAGGGATGGATGTCATATGAGGTTGGAACAGAGGAACAGGCCATCTCTTGGTAAGCTGTTAAGGCTTAGTGCTTTACAAGTGGTTTCTAGTCAACACTGCTCTCATCCCCAAGTGGGAAGGAAACCAGTTTGAGCAATTCCTAGGACAGTTCCAAGACTGCTAAGTGGATAATAACTGAAGATTAAGCCGTCTCATCAGAGAATTTTTTTCCAAAATGCCTTCTTGATTTATTGTGGGGTGTGCTCTGAACACATTTGCCACCTCCCATGTGAGGAGAACAGAGGTGGTTTGTATTACTTCCATCACTCCCTGCCCCCCGCCTTTTTTCCTACCACAACCCATTCATAGGGAAAAGACTGCTGCTTGGGCCTGCAACTCCAGAATGGAGAAGAAGAGTTAATTTCCTTTTCCTCATAGCCAGAAGCTGGCATATTTTCAAACTTAGTGGCATTGTGGATGGGAGGACTCAAGAACCTTGACTTTAGGACAGGGCACCTTGAATTTTGGCAGACACTCTGTCTACAATGTGCAAGGTACAACCCTTGCCCCCCACTCCTGCCCAACTCCCAACCAAAGATGTTGAGAAACTCCTGTTCAAGAATCAAGGCCCAGGGGCTGGGAAGGTGGCTCAGTGGTAGAGTGCTTGCCTTGCATGCATGAGGCCCTGGGTTCGATTCCTCAGCACCATATAAGCAGAAAAAAAGCCGGAAGTGGCGCTGTGGCTCAAGTGGTAGAGTGCTAGCCTTGAGCTGAAGAGCTGAGGGACAGCCCCCAGGCCCAGAGTTCAGGCCCCACGACTGGACCCAAAAAAAAAAAAAAAAAAAGAATCAAGGCCCAGAGATTTCCCAAGCAGGTGAGTTCTGCTTCTGAGTTAGGCAAATGACATATGGAAGTTTCTCCTTTTGGATCAAGCAATGAGCCATAAAATAAATGGAGACAGAAACCAGACAGAGAGGGAGCTAAGAAAGCCAGTAGACAATACAGGAGATAACTTTATTGAAACGCAAATGGCATGGAACAGATGAATCTTGCTAGGAGAAGACATGCCTGATGGACAGAGGGCCCAGGGCAGGGCTCTCTATGATGATGGAGGAAGGCCTCGTCAGCTGGCCTAGGCATGAGTTTAATTTTCAACCAATTTGTTATTTAAAATGAATCACTGAGGGGACAGCCCAGCTCTCTTCATGATTGTTACCGCAACTATATACATTGCTTTACTTTCCAGATTTAATTTTGCCTTTTGCACACACTGGACATAAAAGGAAGTAGGTTGAAAGAGGTGAGGGTCAAATCACGTGCGCGCGCGCGTGCGCGCGGGCACACACACACACACACACACACACACACACACACACAAGCTCTGGTTTGGGTTATTTGTGTCTAATAAATTAAAAAAAGATTTGTGAAAATTCCTGCCCACCCTCCACCTGAGGAGTGCCATGCTTTTGAGAAAGACTCCACTGTTTAAACAATGCTACCTAAAATAAGATGGGGAAGGAAGAAAGGAAGCTAGCAGGGCAAAATGCTTTCTTACAAACGCTTTGTTAATAACAAAATTGAACAAAAAGAACATTAGCAGTAGCCAAGAGACCAGCTGCCCTATGGACCTTGTTCCTTCTACCTTCCTAGTCAGACAAATAGCAGTGCAGCACAGGAAATGGCGGGGAGTGGGGAACCTATCTTTTGGAGATGGCTTTAGCACTATTATTTTATACTTGCCTTCCTCAGACTTTAGTCCTTTCTCCCAAGAGCCCAGTGCCAGAGCTTGGGAGACTGAGCGCTCTTGTGCTGATCTGCGCTACTCCACACAATGCTCACGGGAAAATCTGAACACACTTGAAACAAAATCAGTTCATGCTAAATGGCCTTAGTCAAATCCATGGGCTCGTCTGGGAGTTGGAAAACCTATGAAGCACCTTTCAGATTATTTTTGGCAGTCATGGGGCTTGAACTTGGGCCTGGGAGCTGTCCCTGAGCTCTTCAGCTCAAGGCAAGCACTCTAGCACTTGAGCCACAGCACCAATTCGTTTTCTGGTGGTTAATGAGCTTTAAGAGTCTTATGGATGTTCCTGCCCAGGTTGGCTTTGAACCTTGATCCTCAGGTCTCAACCTCCTGAGTAGCTAGGATTATAGGTGTGTGCTGCCAGCTCCCAGCACCCTTAAGATTTTTTTTTTTTGTCCATCGTGGGGTTTGAACTCTGGGTTTGGGTGCTGTCCCTGCACTCTTCAGCTCAAAGTGAACACTCTACCGCTTGAGCCACAGTGCCACTTCCAGTTTTCTAGTGCTTTATTGGAGATAAGAGTCTCACAGACTTTCCTGCCTGGGCTGGCTTTGAACCATGATCCTCAGATCTCAGCCTTCTGAGTAGCTAGGATTATAGGTATGAGCCACCGGCGCCCCGCACCTTTCAGATTTTTAAAGAAAGATTTTGTTCTATTACTGTCTCTAAGTACCCGAGGTCCTGGTGTGGGGAAAGGAAAAACTAAACCTAAGGACTTACATGGCCCAGAATGATATCCTCACCGCGTGGGTGTCTCTCCTCCTATGAGCTGAGCAGACCATGGATCAGGAGCCTTCCTGGCTTACTAGAGCCCTAAAGTTATTAGCTGCCTTGTGAAAGGAGGTTCTGGTCAGATTCTCAGACCCAGCGACTCAAATAAAGGAAAGAGTATATTTCTGGGAAGGTATTTTGTCATGGAAATACAAATTATATGTATATAATGTCTAGTTTTCCCATTCTATTAAATAATCAGAAAAAGGCTCAGAAAAGACAATCCAGCAGAAGAGCAATCTGGATGAAACCTCCAAACTTCTCTGTTAATGACCCTAAGTTTAGTCAGGTAGAAATCTCAGAAATGAGATTTTTTTTTCTCTGATGGCTGCCCTCACCAAAGAAAAGATGTAATCATTCCCTGAACTTCTGCCCAGAAACATGTTTCCTCGGTTATACTAAAAGAAAGCAAAACAAGGAAGTCTGAGAAAAGTGCCTTTCAACTTATTGTTAATATTGTACTTACAACCTAGAACCTTTTTATATTGGATCCTAAGGTGCCTCAGAGATCAATACTTGTCTTTCTCTTTAAAACAGTCTCTCTGGGCACTGGTGGCTAATAATGTTTGTAATCTAGCTACTTGGGAGAACGGAGATCTGAGGATCTCAGTGGATCTCAGTTCAGAGCCACACCAGGCAGGTCATGAAACTTTTTTGTTGTTGTTGGTAGTAGGGTTTGAACTTTGGGCCTGGGTGCTGTCCCCCAGCAATTCAGCTCAAGGCAAGCGCTCTCCCACTACGATTTTCTGAGTGCTTTTTGGAGATGAGTTTCACAGACTTTCCTGCCAGGGCTGGCTTTGAACCCTGATCCTCAGATCTCAGCCTCCTGAGTAGCTAGGATTATAGGCGTGAGCCACCAGTGCCCAGCTGAGACTCTTATCTCTAACTAATTACAGAAAAAGCCAGAAGTGGAACTGTGACGCAAGTGGTAGAGTGCCAGCCTTGAGTATAAAAGCTCAGAGTCAGTGCCCAGCCCCAGAGTTCAAGCCCCAGAACTGGCCAACCCTCCCCCCCTCCATAAAACCCGGCAGAGTCTCAAACTAGGGCATGTGTGGAATTCCCTAGGTGTTTGCAAAAATAATTGCTAGACCCCACTGCTACAATTTAGGACTCAGTAGATTTGGAGTGGGGTCTGAGATTTTTACTCATCTATTTATATTTGGTGTTTTGGAGACATGGGTCCTGGTATGTTGCCTAAGCTGACCACAAACTTGTAACCTTCCTGCCTTTGCGTCCCCAGTGCTGAGATGGCAGATTTGGATAACCATGCCTGGTGAGAACTTCATTCCTAACAAGCACACAGATTCTGCCATAAGCAAAGGAAAGGAATTCATCTGCTTTCCTGACCTGCCTCCAGACAAAATTCTCCATAGCCTAATCATTAAGAAAAACGGCTAAAACATCAAACTGGGAGGTTCAGTGTAAACAGGTTTATTATTGGGGTTTTGAATTCAGGGCCTTCTACTTGCTATACAGTCACTCTACCATTTGACCCATACCGTTTACCCAATGAGTTTAGTTTTTAAGTGTGTTGGTCTCTCTATAACTTCTAAAGTTTGGCTTCTTTGCTTCAAGGCTAACCAACGTCTCGTTAGTCTACCCTTCTTAGGTCCATGGCCAGCAGTACTTAACTTGGTTCCAGAGCTCAGCTGAGCAAATCCCCACACATGGGCTTCATAGAGTCTTGAACAGGCTGACTGAGGACTCATGAATATATAAACCTGATGAAATGATAAAGGGCAGTGTTCTGGGGCTTTAGCCTAAAACCATCTTGTTACTACCTATGGCCTCCTTAATGGAGTCATGAAGCAGAACTTGTAAGTAGGTGCTACTGTCCTAATAAGAGGGTACCTGCATTCCAGCAGCACATCCATCACAAGGAAGTAAATCTTCAGCAGAAGCACATTTTTCATTCTGGCATGGGGATTGGCTTATGGGGTCTACTTATTAACTTTGGGCTTAGCTAATGCTCAGGATTAAGGAAAAGAAAGGATCAAGCATGATGTGGAACTATAATTGACTTACTACAGCACTTGAACCCTGTGTTAAATGTGTGATGACCACAACTCTTTTGCTACTGAACACCTTGTAATAAAGGTTCTGTGGAAGTATCTCTTTGATCCTGGTTTTAGGTCTGAGTCCTCCTCAATTAGGCAAATGTCACCTAAGTGCTGGGCTGCTATGCATAGATGCTGTCTCAGGCGATGATGGGAAGTGTTGGTGAGACACAGCAGATTACCGCTTCTCATCCTATGCTTTGGAATATTACAGGTGATTGAGTTACTTCTCAGACCACTGGAAAGAAATATCACGTTGAGTAGTGTGACTTGTTTCAAGGAGCTAGAAGAAGTGACTTGATCATATCTACTTAGGACTTTTGGAAACAAGAAAAAACTAGAAGGCACAATATGAAAGGAGGAAAAAAATCAGTATTTTGTCTTAAGTCCTTCAGTACAGAGAAGTTGGTTGGAAAGTCAGTCATTCAAGACCAAAATATGGTATACCAATCAAGAAGGACTTCCTTCTAGGGTCTCTCCATGGATACTTAGCTAGCTATTCTTCCTTGCTAGCCTCTACCTTCCCAATGGTTAGACTACAAGAAACACACTGGTAGAAGGATTTGCACAGAGATAAGCACCGTAGAGTTGCCACATAGCAAAGATTTTCTAAAAGTATTCTATGAAGCCCCAGAAGACAGGAAACAGCAAACTGTTCATGTGTATGAGTGACAAACAGAAACAGTCTCTCTCTCTCTCTCTCTCTCTCTCTCTCACACACACACACACACACACACACACACACACACACACACACAGACATCAGGTCCCTTATAGCTTTCCAATTACCTAGTATTTTATTTTAGCGTCTAGGTAGAGTCTGAGAAACAAATACACTGGACAAATGTTCTTGCTCTTTCTCATCCAGAAATGAGAACTCTGCTCAGGAGTCTCTCCTGGACTGATGGCTCCCCCGATAGGCTGATGGTACTGAACCATGTTCTTTATGAGACAACTTTGGTGAAGGATGGAACTGAGGGGTGGGGTAGGGATGCAGGGGAAAAAAATAGCACAGATTCCAGAATTAGATAGGCGGGATTCTTCTGAGGGTGCGTGGTGGGGGAGGGTTAAGAATTTAGCTATGGAGCCCAGTAGTTTCCTTTTTTGAGGGATCCTAGAAGAAATCTCAACAAAGAAGCAGGTGCGAAAGTAAGAATGCCATGGATTTGTTCCTTGTCATGAAGTGTAGGGCAGTGAGGGGAGCTCAGGTCTACTGCTGCAGTAAAGAATGGACGAGCATCCCAAGGGGTTGTTATAGCACCATGAGGAAGCTCATCCATCTATTCTTGCCATGTATCCATGATTCTTTTGTGAGATGACTGATTCCCCACAGTGAAGGGCCCAGATATGCTACTGAAAATGGGGTCTAGGCTCCAGGGGGAGAAGCTTGAGGCATCAATAACACTTCACCAGATGAAAACATACTTTCTGCAAGAAAGCAATTTAGAGACCTGGGCTAAATGCAGCAGTCAACTGAGAGTAGAAGGTGGTAGATCCCAGGAATAGAAACGAAGTTAAAATCAGGGGAGGCCTCCAGAATCAACCTGCTGAGGATGCAAATAAAATTCATGGTGGTATCCATGGTTATCAGAAAGACAAGAATCCTTCTGCGGTCTGAGGCAGTTAGAATGGAAGAAGGGGCTCTCCCTTCTCTCTCTCTCTCTCTCTTTTCTCAAGTAGCCAGTAACATTGATGACAGAAGGCACTGGCTGGGCAGCACCAGGAAATAAGAGAGTTAAGGACTCAGCCATCAGGTTAAGATGACATTTAAAGTCTGAGCCTTGCCCTAGGACTGGAGCTTCAGAAAGGGTTCAGTAGAGGCCTAGCTAGGTCCAAAGTAGGACTGTCCGATCTTCTCTTCCTTTTATGTTACAACAGCCAACTCTGGGCCTCCTCATTCTGCACAGCAGAGACCTTAAGGCAGTGATTTCAGCACCATCCTTGAACGAACAGCCTCTTTCCACCACAGAATTGCATATTTTACAGCTGAATCGGTTGGGGATCTTCACAGTTCATGGAATTAGCAGCAATAGCAATAATAGTCTCCAGCACAGAGGACCCTGTCATACCTGGAAGCTACCAGATGAATACAGAAGCTTTGCAGGGTGGGGGGAAGGGCAGTTTAGACCATCTTGAGGGACAAGATGCATGTACTCCTTGATGGGGGCAGAACAGCGATCCAAAGTTCTGCTGATAGATTCTGAGAGTCTTGTACTACTTAGGACTCTAAAGAGCAAATGCTTAGGCCCAGGCTTATCCACATATCCCTGATCTATACAGCCCTGAAACTGTATAGCCCAGCAGGCAGCTCAGTCTGGAATCTGGTCCCAGAGGGCTTCCAGAAATGGCAGGAAGTAGACTTGCCCACCCCCAGACAAGCAAGATTCCATTGTCTGCCAGGTTCCACTTCATTGGTCCCAGATCTTCTGGCCCTTGTTGTATAGGAACATCTAATCACAGATGTCTTCTCAGTTTACTCCTTAGATTTTAGATACATTTCTTTGATGGTCAGGAAGGTCCAGATAATAAAATTGTGAATGTAAGCGTACAAGTCTTGCCTTTTTTTCCTCCCACACTGCTCCTTTTAAGTATTCAGTTAAGTAATTGTCAAATGAAGGAACATGGACTGACAGATCTCTAGGTCAATAGGAAGAGGGCAACTTCTGCCAGAGTTGCCCATCTCTCTAGAAAGCAGACATTGGCCTCCAAATCAAGCTGCTCAAGACTTACATTCTGACATAAATGTCCAGTCTCTTATATGTAAATATTCACTGTCAAAAACAAACAAGAAGGGGCCAGATAGGGAATTTTGACTTACTCAGGCCAAGTGGCCACTATCCAAACAGAGGGAGCCAAACAGACCACAAGGCAGATGAGTATTTCTAATTTCCTCGGTTTCCTCCAGGCCTTGATGAAGTTCAGAGTAGATCTTCTGTCATGTCTGGGTTTGGCAATTGAGCTTCCAGGTAGAACATTTGCTTTCTCCAAAGTAGAGTCAAGGGAGGTGAATTCCCTTCTCTTGGTATTTCTGGTCCAACAGTTCTTGTCTCTCTAATATCTTTGATAAATCAAGGATGCCAAAGGTAGTAGATGGCAGGTATCAGGCTGGTGTCAATCGGATGGCATTAGGTTCAGCAAAGGAAACCCACTTGGAAAAGCCAAATTAGCCCCTGGCAAAACAACCCAAGAATCTCATAGACTTGTGAGGAAATGGGGGGAGGGAGGAAAATAAATAGGCAAGTGGTAGGAAAAATATATAAAGAAAATTAAAAAATTAAAAAGTAGGGTTTATTGATTCTCATGCATGTTAAATTAGAGGGCAGAAAGACAGAGCTAGTAGTCTTTCTCTGAAGGCTGAAATGTTACTTTTGTAGTACGGTGACTTCTTTGATTGGCAGCTGTCTTGTCAATGTCCCCTGATGTCATCTAGAAGGTGAGAGCTAACAGCTCTCTTTTCTACCGTGGCAACTGGGCCTCTATTCTCCAGCTTCATCATTTCCATTGCCTTTCACCTTTTACAGGTTGATTTACATTTTTTTTTTAACCACATGCTTCTTTTCTGGGCAAGGGCCAGATCTCTGGGGGAAAGAGTGTTGGCAGTGGTGATGGACTTGGGAAGGATCTGCATAAGTCTGCAGAACTTCCTGCCTCCCTCAGATTTCCCCACACGTGACTGTCTCAGAGTTGCTCCTGAGAATCAGTTAGGAACTGCTACAGTTTTTTGTTTGTTTGTTTTGATATCTTCTGAACCCCTCCCCAGAAAGTACAGGAGTTTGTAGTTGAAACAAGAAATCAAGGAAAAGACCTAGATTCATCTTTTGCCCCAATCATCATGAGAAGTCCAGTAAATTTATCCAGGGGACACAAGTTTCCAAACTCCACCCCATGAATCCCTACTAGGAAGTTCTCAAAGGTGCAGCACCAAGAACCTGCTCTTCTGCCTGCCCTCCTCCTCCCTCTGCTCTCCTGTGGGGCTGGAGAGCTAGTGCTCTGAGAGAAGAGGGGAGAGGAGGAGCTAATGAAGCTGATGCCAGCCTTCTGCTGTCTGGGGTGACAGACTGCAAGACTCTCAGAGAGTTGCCTGGAGGTTGGGGTCCAGGATGGTTTCACGATCTGGAGATTCAATGTAGTTGGCAGCTTCTTGAAGTTTCAGCAACATGGCCATCTAAAGAGGAGCAAAGAGATGAGTTAATGACAGCTGGGATCCTGGGTCCTGATCACAGAAGAGAAACATAAAACAGCTTAGATCAGATGTCTGCTCTTTGGTTTTTAAGCGAGTATCAGCTTGGAGTTGAGGTGATTCACAAAATGGCAGTGACAATTGCTTCAACTTGTGTGTAAAAGGTGTCACTTGGGAATATCTCTGTAATACAAAGCACCATGTGGGATGTGGGGTGGGGGTACCCAGCACTGCAAGACCACCTCTGCTGCTTTCATTCCGTAAGGGGACTGAGCCCTGTGCAAAGCAGTTCATATTGGGAGGAATGGAAGAAATCTGTCTCTAACAGCTAGACTCCAGGCTATCATAAACCTGTTTCTCCCTCCCCAGTTCACAAACCTTCCATCAAACCTAAATACCAGCCAGACACCAATGGCTCCTGCCTATAATCCTAGCTACTCAGGAGGCTGAGATCAGAAGCTCACACCTGTAATCCCAGCTATTCAGAAGGCTGAGATCCAAGGCTCATAGTTTAAAGCCAGCTCGGACAAAAAAGTCCATGGTACTCTCTCTCTCTCTCTTTTGCTGGTCCTGAGGCTTGAACTCAGGGCCTGGGCACTGTCCTTGAGCCTCTCTGTGCTCAAGGCTAGCCTCTCTGTGCTCTACCACCTGAGCCACAGCACCACTTCCAGCTTTTTCTGTGTATGTGGTACTGAGGAATTAAACCCAGGACTTCATGCATGCTAGGTGAGCACTGTACTGCTGAGCCACATTCTCAGCTCTAGTCCATGATATTCTTATCTCTAATTAATCAGCAAAAAGTCAGAAATGGAGGTGTGGCCCAAGTGGTAGAGCATCAGCCTTGAGCAAAAAAAGCCAAGCCTTGAGTTCAAGTCCTCCTATGGAGACACACACACACACACACACACACACACACACACACACCTCCTATGGAGACAGACAGACAGACAGACACACACACACACACACACACACACACACACACACACACACACACACTTCTGTAATACTTGCCTTCTGATATCAGAATGCCTTTTACTCACCAGAGGGTCTGAGTCTAGAGAACCTGGGGTGCTGTCTTTGACAGTCCTGTCTTCTGGAGGTGAGGCAATGCTGTGGGGGCCCACGGTGGGTGGGGGAAGGTGGTAAAGCTTTGATTGGTCTTGTTGAGCTGATGGCCAAGGAAGAGTGTCCCGGACCCACTCCACAGGATCCTCCCAAGCAGCTTTCTGTCCATGGACCTGGGAAGCAGAAGTGTGTGATTAGCGGGTGGGCACCCCCTGGTTAGACATCTCAGGCCAAACATTCCTACAAATATCCAGAAAACTGTTCCTCCTCAGGTGCAAAGACAAGAGGCTCTGATCTCTGTCGAACTTTCAACAAGGAAAATAAGTTGGTATTAACTGGCAAAAATAATTCTGAGGATAATTTAAAAGATCTGATAAAACTTCAAAAATCTGAGCAATGTTCCCAGCCTTAAATAATATTTCTGCTGGGTGCTGGTGGCTCACATTTGTAATCCTATCTATGCAGGAGGCTGAGATCTAAGTAACACAGTTCAAAGCCAGCCTGGGTAGGAAAGTTTGTGAGACTTTTACTTCGAATTAACTACCAAAAAGCCAACAGTGGAGCTGTGACTTAAGTGGCAGAGCACTTACTCAAGTGGTAAAGCCTTGAACAAAAAAGCTCCGGGACAGTGTCCAGAACCTGAGTTCAAGTCCCAGGACCACACCAAACAAACAACCAAAAAAAAGCAAACAAACCCCAAACCTTAACTCGTACCAATCCGATGACCCTGCAATTTTGCTTTTTAAGCAGAAATTCTATTTTAAACATAGTACCTTTTATTTTTGTTTAACTTTCATGAATAAAAGATGTTATCCATTTTCAGATAGCCTGATAAATGGCATCTATAGAAATTTACTCTGTCAGGAAGTATCTATGTCAGTAACAAAATACTTTTCATGGATGACACATGGCTACTAAGGACCAGTCACTGCAACAAAGCTGTAATCCCAGCTACTCAGAAGACTGAGAGCCAAGGCTTCACGGCATTCAGACTTCAGTGTGCTGTTATATAGTGGAGTGATGATAAGTAACAATAAAGTATATTTGAAAAAACTAGAAGAGGGCTAGGAATGTGGCTTAGTGGTGGAGTGCTTGCCTAGCATGCATGAGCCCTGTGTTCTATTCCTCAGTACTACATAAACAGAAAAAGCCAGAAGTGGTGCTGTGGCTCAAATGGTAGAGTGCTAGCCTTGAGCAAAAGAAGCCCAGGGACTATGCCCAGGCCCTGAGTTCAAGTCCCAGGGCCAGAAAAAAAAGCTGAAAGGATTTTTGAATGTTTTTTAACATAAAGAAATGATGTTTGAGGAGGTATGTTTAGCACAATGTATACGTGTATTCAAATATCACATAGCATCTCATTATATATAATTCTCTTTTTTTTTCCTTTTCCAGTACCATGTTTACACTCAGGGCCTCGTGTTCTCTTGGCTAGCTAGACGTGGCAGGTACTCGATCACTTGTGCTATGCCTCCAAGTTTTTGCTGGTTAATTGGAGATACAGCCTCAGGGACTTTTTTGTCTGGCTGCCGGGACTGGCTTTGAACAGTGTTCCTCCAGATTTGAGCTTCTAGAGTTGCTAGGGTCATAGGTATAAGACGCCAACACCTGATTCCATTGACATAATTTTTTACTATCCATTTAAAATAAATTTAATAATAAATGTCTTTCTTTTTGAAATGGAGTCTCGCTATGTTGCCTGGGCCAATCTTGAACTCATAAGCACAATGTACCCTGTCTCAGCTTCCCAAGTAGCTAAAGAAAGTGGAGCTGTGGCTCAACTGGCAAAATGCTAACTAGCCTTGAGCAAAAAGCTCAGGAATGGTGTCCAGATCCTAAGTTCAAGCCCCAGGACTGGCATACCAAAAAAAGTCTCTTCAGGGCTGGTGTGTATAGCTCAGGTAGTAGGGTCCCTGTTTAGCAAGGTTGAGGTCCTCTGTTCAAACCCTAGTATATCCCAAATAAATATGTTCATATATTTTATTTTGTCTTCCAAACAACACAGTGCTTTAGTTAGAACAGAATTTATCACCCCTTCTTACAAGATAATTCATTTATCAGAAGTCAGTAAGTAGCTAAGAGATAATTAGGTTTTCCTTCATTTTTAGCTTATTTTAGTATTTGCTATCGCCCTAACAGAGTGGCTTTAATTGAACTTAGGATTGGAGAGAACATTCCAGAGGCAGAACTGCTGAGTAGAAAGCAGCCTCACCTATCTCAGGCCTTGCTCTACTTTTTATTTTATTTATTTATTTACTTACTTATTTTTTAAAAGAAAGTCAGCCTATCTAATCCCAGTAAGTTCCATGCTTTAGATTCAAAATTGTTTCTACTTTGTTAGCCATGACAGCCTGATCTTGGGCTTGGCGTGCAGTCAGAGAGGAGGGCTCACCTTGATCCCATCCTTGGCTCCTTCCTGTAGGTAGGGAATGATAGAGTTGTTCCAGAGGTCAATGAACCAGGTCCGGAAGTCCTCGATGCCAATGGGACAGGATAAGAAGAAGCAAGGGCCTAGGGAAGAGCAGAAAGCCAAGATGAAGGCTGAGAAGACTCCATCTCCCCCATCTTGTGCCTCTCTTACACCTTAGTACCAGGCAGAGGGTGGGCTATACAAAGCAGCAGAGGGAACGGGAAGTGGTGAAGACCCCTGGGTGCTGACTGCCTGGTGTCTATGATCCCGCACAAGCAGAAGTCTAGGGAGTAGGCAAGCTTCTTAATTCCCTCCTTTATTTCATTAATCACGTGTGAAAACAAGGGAGGGATTAGAAAGTCCTTCCACCCCAACTACCCCCACCACCTCCAGGGCCTTGGAGATGTTAGGCAAGCACTCTACTACTGACCTTCAGCCCTAGCCCATTTCTTCTTTTTCTTGTTTTGTGGTACTAAGTTTTGAACTCAGGACCACTCATTTGCTAGGCAGGTGCTCTAATACTTAAGCCATACCTCCAAGCTCTTTTTTGCTTTTAGCTCTTTTTCATATAGAGCCTCACATTTTTGCCTGGGGCTGGCTTCAGACTGAGACCCTCCTACTTCTGTCTTTTACATGACTGGGACCACAATATACACCAACAGGATGGGCTTGTTGATTGTGACAGCCAAGAGTTCATTGCTACCTTTCTGCCTGGGTTGGCCCCAAACAACGAGCCCCTTGATCCCAAGCAGGTTACAGGCATGCACCACTGCACCCACCTCCTCCTCTTCCTCCTTTTTTTCATATGGAGGTGTCTCCTTATGCTGACTCTGAAACAATCAGCTCAAGTGCTTCTCCCATCTCAGTCTCCCACATAGCACTACAGGGGTGAGCCAGGTCATATGACCTGGATATAGCTTTCTGATGGCTGAAGTGATTTTCCCAATTCCAGCTATGTTAAAAATGCACACTGGGTGCCAGTGGCTTACACCTGGCGATACAAGAGGCTGAGATCTGAGGATGGTTCAAAGCCAGCCTAGGCAGACTGTGAGATTCTTATCTCCAATTAACCACCAAAAGTGGAGGGAGAGGGGGAAGCGGGAGCCAGTCATGAAGCTAAGCTGTGATTCAAGTGGTAGAGTGCCAGCCTTGAGCAAAATAAGCTAAGGGACAGGACCATATAGGCCTTGAGTTCATGTTAAGTACTTAAGTATTTTCGGGTCCAAAGCCCCAAGGCTTGCAATCTTGGTAAGCAAAGGGAGCAGTCCTCCCGAGGGCTGGGCCCCAGTACCTATGAGGAAGTCCGAGGTGCTGTGCTTCTCTAGGAAGGTGTGGAGGTGATACCACAGCTTGGGCACCCAGTCCAGCACCCGGAGCAGCTCTTCCTTGTTGGCATTGATGTCGCTGTCAGACTCTACCAACTTCCTCCGCAGATAACGGACCAGGAAGCCATTGGCGGGCTCCACATTGTTAGAGAAGGTTAGCATCCTGCCACCAGCGATGGGGAGAGTGGGGTCAGAGCAGCCGTGGGCTCAGTGCCGGGGTTTACCTCCTGCCAGTCAATCCCTCCCCCTGCCTGCCTCCCCACTAATGACCACTTGGCTTCTTCTCAAGTAATAATGAAGGACAACTGAGTTCAGGATAGCAGCCCTGGGCAGACTGAGCTGATTCTCAAATCAGTGCCCTCTTCAAATAACCACCTGATCGCTCTGATTTGGACTAGGGTGGCTGGGCGGAGAATTCTGATCGCAGCAGGTTAGAGTGTCTCCTGCCAGTGTCTCTCCTTCCCATCCCATCTTTTCCTCTCCTCAAAGTTGTCTTCTCCCCTGTCGCTGACAGGCAAATACTCCTGCTTTCTCCTTTCAGCAGAAAAGCTCATGTTCCTTCTTTTTCTTTCTGTTATTTGCTGCTCTTCTACCTGAAGAGTCTGGGAGTTTTAACTAGCTTATAGATGCTTGGGTAGGGTCCAGGAAATTTGTGCAGCAATAGAGTTCTTACCTGAAGCTCAAGTGCAAGCCATGGTTGGGTGTCATTTTTACAGGCTGATTGGTGGTACCTATAATATAAGGACTGTAAGAAGAAAGGGGAAAAATGAGTCACTTAGATTTGTCCTAACACTTGCTTCTGTCATGTGCACACAGTTTGGCCCCCATCCCAGCTTACCATTTGTGATACTTGCAGGTGAGGGCGCCATTGACCAGCTCACTGATGGAGCCTGTTTCACTCAGATCATCCAAGAGAATGACTAGGGGCACATCCCCGATTCCTGTTTCTCGGTCTATCTGGTTGGCCAGGTTCGAGAGATAGAGTTGTAGATCCTTGAATTAGACAAAAAAAAAAGAGAAGAATCAGCCTTTGGGTTAGCCTTGGAAAGAAGACTTGGACTAGCTTTGCTAGTTCTGTATCTCTTGGGGCTGTGGCTCATGTTGGATGCGTGCACACATTTCGTTACAGAACCCCCTCACTGGAGACTGATCATGGCGATCTCAAGACTCTCCAAACACCTTCTGCAGTGGCCTTGTGTCTCTGAAAGGTGGAGCACACAGCTCTTCTGTAAATGCTTTGTGCTGGTTTGGGACTGTGAACTACCATTAATAGATGTACCTCTCCCAAGAGGGAAGAGCTAAACCCTTGAAACAACTCCAAAGTATTAGGATGTGTTCTAGAGACATTATTGGGGTGACAGTGGGGGGAGGCTCACAATATGTAATATTTAGGAGTATTTTTTCCAGAGATCCCAAAGTACAAGATACTGGGGAGAAAGACAAGAGAGAAAGAATGAGATTGAGTGAAGATAATGAAATAGAAATAGAGTCTCATCAATGACCATCTAAAGGGAAAGGTGTGAAACAGAAGTGTGGAGGAGGAAATTACTAGCAAAAGACAAACAAGAATTAAAGGAAAGAAATTAGGGCAAGCTGTACACGGGTGGCTCATGTCTGTAATCCTAGCTACCTGGGAGGCCGAGATTTGTGGTTTTGGAGAGGAAAGTCTTTGAGACTCTTACCTCCACTAAACTACCAGAAAAAAAAAAAAGTGGTGCGGTGGCTCAAGTAGTAGAGTGCTAGCCTTGAGCAAAAGCAGCTCAGAGACAGTGCCCAAGCCTTGAGTTCGAGCCCCAGGATCAGCATAAAGAAAAGAAATTAGGGCAGGGGAAGGAGAAGACTGGAAAAGGGAATGAGGCAAGGAGAAAAGGGAACAAGGCAGGGAAGAAAGGGAAAGCCCATTGGAGATAGGGAGGAGATGAAGGCCGGACTATGGAAAGGAAAAGGGGAATGAGGAGGGAAGGTACCCAGGATAGGTCTTGGGGGAGGGGGGCAGGGGGCTGAGCCTGCGTAAGATGGGCAGGGGTCTCAGGAGGCAGCCACCTTGCAAGACTGCTGGTGCATGTTGAAGGTGCTGACGATGCCCTCGGTGACCTCTCGGCCGGAGCGCTCCACCAGGTACTCGGCTAGCCGATTGGTCAGGTAGGTCTTGCCAGTACCGCTGGGACCCGAGAGGATGAGGCGCCGGTGCTTGAGCAGAAGGCTTATGTAGTGCTGCATCATGGGCTTGGGGATGAGCGTCTCAAACACCAGGCTGTCGACGCACTTCTCCTTCAGACCTGAACCCCACCCCAGAAAGCGGGAGTCCAGACCATGACCATGAGGATGGCCAGGGGTCCCAAAGAAGATTGTCCTTCCTTCTCTAGGAGCCCACTGAAGAAACACAGAACCATTTACCCCATGGAGGCCCAGTAATCTCCTCAACTCTCATTTCAAGAATTCAGATCTCATTTTTGGGGGACATACCCTAAGCTAGAGATGAGTAGGCAGATTTTATAAAACGAAGTGCTGGACCAGGCACTATGACTCATGCCTGTAATCCCAGCCACTCAGGAATCCATAAGTAGGAGGATCATAGTCTAAGGGCAGCCTGGATTACAGTGTGAGATACAAGGCCTTATCTGAAAAATAATTGAGCAAAAGAGGCCTGGGAATATGGCTCAAGTGGTAGAGCACCTGCCTAGTACACACGAGACCCTGAGCTTAAACCCTGGTACTGGGGGCTAATCATCTTTGTAATACCTCATATTATTTCAATTCTTTCACATCACAGCTTCTCAATGAGTTCTTTTTGGATGAATGCACAATGCATGATCTCATAGGCCTTGCCTGGCCTTTGTGCCACATCACCTCGCCCCAAGAGACAAAAGACTAACCTTTGAGGGAGACCGAGATGCTGCTGACCCCTCGGCAGCACGGAGGCATCTCGGGGGGCTCAGCGTCCAACACTCGCTTCACGTGGCTGAGGCTGTAGCCGTGGATGGACTCAGTGCTCAGTCCCAGGGTGGCAGCTGGGTCCATTTTAGAAATATAGTCCTGATAGAAGAGACAGGGAGGGCATGGAGATGGGAAGGAAGCTTGAACACAAAAGTTCAAGGACAAGTGCCCAGGCCCCAAGTTCAAGTCCCAGGGCCGGCACACTCACACAAAAATGCTAAAGAACACTGAAGAGACAGTAACATAGTTGGAGAAACCACGAGATGAATACTACAGGAAATAAAAGGTGAGAAAGGGCACTTGCTTTGCCCATTTTGCCTTTCTCCAGAAAACCCCTAGGTCCCCAGGAACCCAGGGCCTGGGTGGCTGAAAATCCCATGAGAGGATGAGTGACCTTTGTGACTACACGCGGCCTTCTTACCTGGAAAACTTGGAAAACAGCTTCATCCAGCATCTTCCAGTCAACTTTCCCGCTGACCTTGCTACAGCCCAAGAAGAATTCCTGCTGCTTCAGGTCCTGCAAGGTCAAGGTCGAAGCACATGAGCCTCATGCACATGACTCTGAGAAAAGGAGATCCTACAAAGCCTCAGGAGGCAAGTAATTCTGGCGTGGGGACTACTGAGAGCCCCAATTTTCCTTGCCAAAGGACAACAGAATAGATATTTCTCTATATATGATGGCACTGAATTCAGAATGCATTCGATACATTTAACGTATGCCGTGGTTTAGCAATGCAGCCAAGGTGGAGGGCCCTATGTTCACCCTCATGTGTGTGTGTGTGTGTGTGTGTGTGTGTGTGTGTGTGTGTGTGAGAGAGAGAGAGAGAGAGAGAGAGACAGAGACAGAGACAGAGACAGAGAGAGAGAGAGAGAAGGGGGGGACTGAGGCTCCTAACATCACTCAATGTCCCAAGAGACCCTCACCATGCAGACTTCCCAGCTCAGGAAAAGATCAAAATTTAAAAGACGGCTGCTACTGAAGGCATCAGTTCTAAAGCATGGTAAAGTCTGAGTCCATCTTTATTATGCTGGTTCCTCTGCAGGTCCTTCCTGAAGTTCCTTACCCCTTTGATGATGTGCTGGGGGGGCATCCGTACCACCACCCGAAGGGTCACTTCCTCCTTGGGGCCACTGGTGCTGATGCCATCCATGGGCGACAGGTCTGTGGGGATTGAAAAGGATTAATTGGCTTGAGGGGCACGCACAATGTTCCCCCTAAACTTTCTAGCTATTATCCTTTCCAAATAGCCATTATCCTTTCCGAATAACTACTGTCTACTCTGATACAGAAGAATCAGGAGACCCAAACTGAAATGAGGTTAAGAGTTTAAGAACCATAAGAACTCTTTTTAAAAAAAAAATTTTTTTTCTTTCTCTTGGTGGTCTTGGGTTCGAACTCAAGGCCTTTCTTATACTTGCCAGGCAAGTGCTTTCCCTCTTGAGCTATACCTTCAGCCTGTGTTGCTTATGTTAATGTTCACATAGGGTCTCGATTTTTGCCTGAGTGAGTCTTTGTGCTTCTCCCTTTATGCTTTCTGTGTAGAGTGGGCCACCATGCCCAATTTTTAAAATTGGTTGAGATGTAGTCTCTGGAATTTTTTTGGTCCAAGCTGGCCTTAAACTGCAATCCTCCTGATCCTAGCCTCCAAGTAGCTAGGATTGCAGATGTGATCATTCTTAGGTGTCTTCTAACAAAGTACTTGATGGCCTCAGGAGCAAGTGGAATGATCATAGTGAAATGAGTCCCCACCTTGTTGTTTTTGTTTTAACTCTTCACCTCTATTGGCTCTTCTTCCCCAAAGGTACCTGTATCTGTGAGACCCGGGCTGAAGGAATGGGTGAGAGCAAGGCCTAGGGAGCGGCGAGGGGACGACAGAGTAGAAGATCCAGGGACCTGCCCTGGAGTGGAGCCTGAGGAGGGGCCGGGAGCGACCTTCAGCCGGTCATTCTCTGCCTTCAGCAGGTCCACCTCCAACTGTGGCAAGAAGAGACAGGGCAGGGTCGCAGGGCTGGACACAGCTCAGGCCGTGACCTCCCCTCTCCTGCAGCTCTGTGCCTGGACACTGACCTGCATGTTGTGCATGGTCTCCCGAAGCTGGTCCAGCTGGTGGGCAGAGTTGAGAGCCTCTAAGCGAATGTCTGTAAGTTTCATCTCTTTCTCCCATAGCTCAGAGCGCAGTTCAGATACCTCCTTCTTTTCTGGCTCCTCCTCCTCATTAGCATGGAAAAGCCTGGTGTGTGGGACTGGATGAGCAGGGGCCCTGTAGGAAAGCAAGAGTCAGCCGGGCTTGCGCAGAAGCGTTCGTTACTGGGCAATCTGACATGCGTGGTCAGTAGTCTTGGCCCATGGATACTCAGTAAGTATGACAGAAAGGTGCCCTCTGTGGGTCTCACAAACCCAGGAAGAGGGCAATAAGTAAGGTGGTGTTGGTCCGGGGTCTATGGGCTTACCGCCAGCTCTGGCTAGCAGTTAATACTGGCAGCAGGCTAGGTGGCAGGCACTCAGAGCACTTACTCAGTGACCTCAGTGCCCACGGAGGACGAGGTGGAGGACTTGAGGGAGGGTGAAGCGGTCTCTGTGGAGCCGTGTTGCAGCTTTGGGGATGAAGGAGCTGAGGAGTCGGGAGTGGCGATCTCCTCAATATCAGAGTACGAGGATGCAGATTTGGGTCCCTTTTTTATACTGAAGGCTTTGTTGAAAGAACTTCGAAGCTAGGAAAGAACAGATCCCGGTAGAGAGATGTTAGGGCTCCATTTTGGACTGCTTTGGGATTGGGACAGGCAGGGGACTTACTTGCTGTAACTAAGCTCGCTCTATGAGGTGTGGCATATGGACAGAGCCCCACACACATGAGGACTCAGAAAAAGAGTGGCTTGCTGCCACTGTAGCTGTGGGGACTTCTTGGGGCTTCTCCCTTTTGGGGGGGGGACTGTCTCCTGAGCAGGACAGAGAGAAGACCCCAGAGGATTCATGATATACCGCTCAGCAATCCAATCCTATCAGTGAATTAATCTAGAGACTCACTCACTTTGGGTCTCAAGATCCCCTCTCTTCCTTGGGTTCATCAACCCAGATTCTACTCATCTCCTTACAAAACAGCCAGAAACTGACACTGGGGTTCTGTGAAGATGAAGAGAAGGGAGTGGTACCAAGTTGCACTTAGTATTGTGGTATGTGTGCCTAGCACGCCACAGAGCAGTTAGAACAACCAGACAAAAGCGCTTTTTACTACGTTGAGATCTCTCTCAGCCTCTCCTCAGATCAGGGCATTATAACCCGATGTTTGATCTCAGCACTGATGAGCTTGGGTGTTGGGTGGGGGTGAGCTTTTAAGAGATGCAACCCAGGAGCCTCATCCCACACCCATTCACATGCATCCATTCAGCATGCACACACACAGGGACACAGACACGGAATGGCAGCAAGAGACAGGGAGTAAAGGAGGGGTCAAAGGCCATAGGGGAAAAAGGCAATGCAGATCCTTCAGACAGGGGGAAATAAATGAAGGAAAATTTGAGGATATCCTTTCTAATCGTCTCTCTTGGGACAGAGTCTGTTGGGTAATGGGTAGAGCTAGCGGCTAGTGGCCATTGATTCTCTACTAGGTAAGACATAAAGGAGGACCAATCTGGCTCTAGTAGGATTAAGTGAGAAAGTATGTATGCAGCCTGCTGGTTCCAGGGACTTTACTGTCCTTTAGCAACCAGGGCCCTAAAGTACCATAAAGCTCAGGTCTCTGCTGAGTTGAATCAAGAATCAGGATGGAAAAGTACAGAGTGGATTTCTTGCTGGAATTCAAATTCAGGCCTGTTCATTTTTAATCTAATCAAGTTTTCTATAAATCATTCATGGGATGCTGTATGTGTGTGTGTGTAGAAAAAACTCCTGTGAGCCAGGTGTCCATGGCTCACATCTGTAATCCTAGCTACTCAAGTGGCTGAGATCTGAGATCACACGCTGAAGCCAGCCCAGGCAGGAAAGTCTATGAGACTTATTTCCAATTAATCACCAAAAAGCTAGGAGTGGAGCTGTGGCTCAAGTGGCAGAGTGCCAGCCTTGAACAAAAAAAGCAAAGGGAGGGCTGGGAAGGTGGCTCAGTGGTAGAGTGCTTGCCTTGCATGCCTGAGGCCCTGGGTTCGATTCCTCAGCACCACATAAACAGAAAAAGCCGGAAGTGGCGCTGTGGCTCAAGTGGTAGAGCACTCGCCTTGAGCTGAAGAGCTGAGGGACAGCGCCTAGGCCCAGAGTTCAGGTCCACGACCGGCAAAAAAAAAAAAAAGAAAAAAAAAGAAAAGGGAAAGTGCCCAGGCTCTGAGTTCAAACCTTAGTTCTGGCACTTAAAAAAAATAAAGAAATTCTGTGAGCAGTGTGCCTGGAGTGTAGCCCTCTGATCACTAGGGTTCTAAGTAAGAATGGTACGCAGTGCACTTTATAGAGTGCACCTAACCCTTGAAACATGTTTGTTGGCATACAGCTAATGGTCCCATGGTTATGAGCTCAGAAAACACTGGAGTAAGCAAGACAAAGCAGGACTCTTTCCGGGAGATATTTCAGAATGTGTCCTGTGCAAATGGGCACTGGAGAATATTTAGTGATTCTGAAAGTGATCTGATAATGGCAGCATCACTATTGAAGGAGTATCTGAACAGATCGGTGATCTGTGAAATCTACTATGAGAGATGCTAAAGAGCCAGACGCTAAAGAGGCTCTACCCTCCCTGGTCAGGCCTCCGTGAGAGCTGGTCCCTTTGCTCCATTGTTCCCTTCTGACCATACAGTGTTGATATAGAGCATTCCACCACATCCCCGGCTACTTTTCCTAATTCCACCTGAGTTTACTTTCACTGCCTTTGTGCTGTCTGCTCCAATGACTCTGGTCAATGAACTGTACTTAAAGGACTATAAGCATTTGGGCACCATTGGATTGTTATTCATTTTATATGTGCAATGTTCTTTTTTTCTCCTCAGGAACACTGTAGGCTCCTGACAGAGGTGAGGGTCTCAGGAGCTCACGTCCTCCACACCCCTGTTGAGATCGGGTGGGAGGGATGCTCAGGTGTTTGGTTTGCAGCAGAGATTGTGGGTTCATCTTCTTGTTGTTGCTGTTGTTTGCCTTAGACTCTACTGTAGTCCCTAAATGCTTTTAGAGGTCCCATGGATATCTGGAGGGTTTTAAGGTTTGGGATGATGACGGTGTCCTAGACTGGACCATATCCCCCATAATTTCTGCTTTATGCTTCTCTGGAGCTGAATCTTTAGGTTAAGCCCAAGCTGAACTGGCCTCTGAAAACTGTGGTCAAGAAAACCTCCATCCAGATTCCTTCTGGCTTCTAGGTTTAATGGGCCAGAAGTGTAAAGGTTCATTTTCTGGGCCAGGTGCTGGTGGCTCCTATCTGTAATCATAGCTACCCAGAAGGTTGAGATCTGAGGATCGTGATATGAAGCCAGCCTAGGTAGGCAAATCCATGATTCTCATCTCCAATTAACCAGCAAGAGGCTGGAAGTAGAGATGTGGATCAAGTGGGTAGAGTGCTAGCCTTGAGCAGGAAAAAAAAAAAAAGCAAAGCAAAAGCAAGAGGCCCCAAGTTCAAGCCCCAGTGAGAGCACAAACTATTTTCTGGGTAGGAGAAGCTCAATGTGACTGCTTTTTATAGGAGTCCAATTCAGTAACAGCGGACGGAGGACAGGAGGGAACTAATTCTGACTGTGTGTGGCTTTCCCGTCTGACCTATAACCAGACCACTCCTCTGCTCTGCAGAGGCAGCTGTGGGTGCACCATGCAGTGGAGGGAGGGAGTTGGGACCGCTGCGCAGTTGCAGTGGTACCGTTAGTGTTCTGAGTGGCTGCTCTTTTCCTTTCTTTTTAGAGGGAAAGAATTGCTCTCTAAGTAAGGAAGGTAATGGTAAAGGGAAGAGAAAGTAAGGGAAGAGGAAAAGAACCGGGCCTCTTACCTCATAGACCTGGAAAAAAATAGGGATTTGAAGTCAGCATTTTGAAGGGGGAAAAAAAAAAAAAGAAGAAGCAACACTTAATCACTCATTTCACACAATGGGCGCCTGTCTGCATTCCACAAAGGTCTGCGGGCCGGTCCTAAACAGGGAAGAGATGAGCTCCCTTCCCCAGTCAGCCAGAAGAGCTGAGTGTCCTAGAAAACTAAAGAATTTCAAAAAGACCATCCAAAGTCATTTTAGGATCGGAGGGAGGTGCGTAATGACAAACATGAGAAAGACCCCTCTGGACCACCCAAAGGTAATAGAGCACTTTTGAAGCACTTTAGAAAGCTCCGCGAATTCCTCTCCAAATTGGAGAAATCACCTCCAGAAGCCCCTAGAAGGAATGACACTGTTTACAAAACCTTTCTACAGTAAAGGGAGCGGGCAGGGAAGGGACTGCTATGCCATTTCCTTCTGAGGATTTCTCCAGCTCCTTCGGTGGCCAAATATATTTGATCTAATCCGTGTGAAGAGCCCATGCTAGCAGAAGTGGGAAAAGGTTGCAGGGAGAGCCTGGGGACCAGCAGGCCGTGGCTGGGACAATGGAAGAAGTTGGCAGACCTTGCTCCCTGCAGACATCAGACTGAAGTTTACCACTAGAAAGGACCGGTCAACCCTCGAGGCCAACCCAGGTTATCCAAGCCCTGTGCTGCGTTGGAGGCAGAACCTCGGAGATTCTGCCCATGAACCTTTACCTACCCAACTCTTCTTCTTCTTCTTCTTGGCATCAGCATCCTTGCTGCTGCTGATGCTGGAGTGGCTGGTGATGCTGTTGAGGCTTGAGATGCTGTCTGAGGAGTTCTGTCTCTTGATCCGGAGTTCTAGGGGCCAAGTTCAAGTGGAAAGGAGGCAGAGGTGGATTTAGAGACCACAGGGAATCAAGTTAAGGCTAGTTACAGAAGATAAACAGGGAGGGGCTGGGAAGATGGCTCAGTGGTAGAGCGCTTGCCTTGCATGCATGAGGCCCTGGGTTCGATTCCTCAGCACCACATAAGCGAAAAGAAAAAAGCCGCAAGTGGCGCTGTGGCTCAAGTGGTAGAGTGCTAGCCTTGAGCTGAAGAGCTGAGGGACAGTGCCCAGGCCCAGAGTTCAGGCCCCACGACCAGACCCAAAAAAAATAAAGAAAAACAAAAGAAGATAAACAGGGAAGGGAACCCACCAACTTCTTCTAGGAATGCACCATTCAATTTGTGAATTAGTTATCAAACAAAACATTCATGAAAGGCAAATCACATTTCAACACAGAAATTGCTAGAAGCTAAATAATAAGAATAATAAATAAAGCTGGGCACCAGGAGGTCACACCTGTAATCCTAGCTGCTCAAGAGGCTGAGATCTGAGGATCGCAGTTTGAAGCCAGCCGAGCAGAAAAGTCTATGACACTCTTATTTCTAATTAATCACAAAGAAAAGCCAGCAGTGGAGCTGTGGCTCAAGTGATAGACTGCTAGCCTTGAGCAAAAGAAGCCCAGGGATCACACCAAGGCCCCCCAGGCACAAGAAGTTCTCAGTCTAGTAGGAAAAAAAAGAAATGGTATAAAGTGCTCAGCTTGAATAGAGCTCTGAGAAGGACTTACTAAGCTGACCATCTACACTAGGCACATACCATCCTATCCTGGGTCAGGGCTTATCCAGCAATACTTAGCTACCCAATGGTCCAAGGCCAAATATAAATAGCTACATGCAGAACTTTTAACCTGAATACAGGGTAAATCCCATCTGATGATGAGAAAAGTGAACATGCCAGGCAAGTATTCCACCACTGAACTATGCCCTCAGCAGGTGCCACGTACACAAAAGGTACTGAATTAAGATTTCCAGCACTAAAAATATTAGATGGCAGAATAAGTTGCATACTTGTCTATCTTTTGAAGGTTTCAATAAGTTGTGAGCCTATCAACTAAATAAGGGATTCCACATGAATTATTTTTAAGAGCAAAAGAGCCAGGCACACATGGCTCATGCCTCTCATCCTAGCTACTCAGGAGACTGAGACCTGAGGATTGTGGTTCAAATCCAGGCAGAAAAGTCTGTGCAATTAATCCCCCCAAACGCAGTAGAGGGGTATGGCTCAAATGGTTGAGTGTTAGCCTTGAGCAAAAAAAAAAAAAAAAAAAAAGCTTAGGGACAGGACCCAGCTTTTGAGTTCAAGCCCCAGGACAGGCACAAAAACAAAAACAAACAAATCTTAAATTACACAGTATGAATAACTGTTTTGTCTTCTGCAGTGTTGGGGATCAGACCCAGTGACTTTGCTCACTCAGCAGCTGCTCTACCACTGAGTTCACCTGCCCAGCCTTTGCAAAAGCTTCTGAATATGCATAAAAGCATTTTAAAGGGACGAATGTTACAATACACAAATCCTATCTCAAGTTAAATGAAAACAAATACTTTTAGAAGCTGTAGGATAGACACCAAACAAAACGTGTAGACTCCTAGAAATGGGCCATGGCTGGTGCCTTGGGGGACACCAGTACTTCAGGAAGCTCCATGATGGAATCAGAGCTGGAGAGACAGAAGCTAAGGGAAGGACTTACTGAAGGACAGGTGAATAGGGCCCTAAATATGGGAACTTGACTCTGTGTGTGCATGAGTGTGTGCGCACGCCTGTGTGAACATGTATGCACAAGTACACAGTATTTTTTCTTTGAGACAGGATTTCACTATGTAGTTCCATCTGGCCTTCAACTAACTAGCTGTGCCGGGCGCTGGTGGCTCACGCCTGTAATCCTAGCTACTCAGGAGGCTGAGATCTGAGGATCGCGGTTCAAAGCCAGCCCGGGCAGGAGAGACCGTGAGACTCCTATCTCCAATAAACCACCAGAAAACCGGAAGTGGCGCTGTAGCTCAAGTGGTAGAGTGCTCGCCTTGAGCTGAAGAGCTGAGGGACAGCGCCCAGGCCCAGAGTTCAAGCCCCACGACCGACAAAAAAAAAAAAAAACAACTAACTAGCTGTGCAGCACAGGCTCACCCTGACCTCTAAATCTTCCTGCCTCAGTCTCTGGCGGGCTGGGATTCCAAATGTAAACCACCACACTCATCATTCTTTGGAGCCCCTATTATAGGTTTTTTTTTCTTTGTTTGTTTTTTTGGCCAGTCCTGGGGCTTGAACTCAGAGCCTGGGCGCTGACCTGATCTTTCTGCTCAAGGCTAGCACTTTACTACTTGAGCCACAGTGCCACGTCTGGCTTTTTCTGTATATGTGGTACTGAGGAATCGAATCCAGGGCTTCATGCATGCTAGGCAAGCACTCTACCACTAATCCACATTCCCAGACCCAAAGATGGTTTTTGTTAACAAAGTAGGTGGGGGTTACGTTCGGAGTGAGGCAGGTGAATAGCGGGAAGAAGAGCTTGAGGAAAGCGGCAGAAGCTGTAGTATAGTGTGAAGGTAGCTGCTGGGGAGCAAACCAGGGCCCTATATATACAAGACAAGGGCACCACCTGCAAACTCTATCCCCAGCACACAGCCCACAGATATTTTGGTGTCAGGCTATCTGTAGCGAAGTCTGATTGCTAAATGCCGAGGCCGCCTTGTCACATGACACTCGTGTGACTCATGTATCTATCTTTGGCTGTGTCATCTGCAGAGAAGACTGACTTCCTCTCCCTTGGAGACATGAGGTGACCATCAAGAAAGCTCACATACACGTATGTAGAGCGACACATTTGTGGACAGATGTGAAGTGCTCTGCTGGTGACTGCCTTTGACAGCTCTTTGGTCTGAAGGCTGAGAGGCCTTGCAGTGGATTACAGATCTCCTCGACCAGCCTTCATCCCCTGCAGTGATAGTCATCACTCCTCACTAGCCAGCCCAGACATCATATTGGAGGGAATTTCATATGAAAGGTGGCACATTGTGGGACGAGATGGAAATCTGCACTCATCCTCTTCACCCTCTCTGTTCTGCCTCGGTGGGGAACAGAACACCTTACCTTTGGGTGTGGCTTCTGAGGCATTCAGGGCTCCCTGAATGACCGCCTGAGCTTCAGAGTTCTTTTTCTTCAGGAAGTCGATTGTTTCTCGTAGATCCAGCAGCTCAGTGTCCTAAGCCAGGAAGGAAAATAAGGTCAGCACTTGGAGATGGCTGGGCAGTGGGGTGGGCCCTGGAATTCTATGCATCTTGACAGAGAAGGGCAGGGAATTGGAGCAAGGAGAATCAGGGCAAGGGAAACTGTCCTGGTGATTGAGGAGGGAAACCCGGGTCTCGGTGTCTAGTATCCCCACCCACGCCTCTCACCTTCTCCTCCGCTGTTTCTGCCAGATGTCTCAAGCGAGATGTCATGTTCACCAGGCTCTGCTCAAAAGCAGCCACTAAGTTAGCCTGAAACAAACACATAAACAGATCATCTGTTGCATGAAGCTAAGGGAAAGAAAATGACTGAGATGCAAAATAGTTTTAGCTGTTTTTCTGTCTCAGAGCTGGCCCAGGTCAATGAACCTCTTAGTTTTAAAATATTGATTTCCCTGAGCAGACGGTGAATCAGCTTCCTGAATAAGGTGAGACCATCTACAGGTCATCTACCAGAGGTGGCACTGTCTCTGCTCTGTGTGGGATGGGAGTGGAAGGCTGATGGGGGTGCGGGTGGGGGCATAAGTCTCTGGAAGGGTTCCTACAGTTTTGGTTTCCCTCCACAGTGAAGTGTGCTCACTCCTGTCATACTAAATAACCTCCCCACAAGTCCCTTTGGATCTTTCTTCCTCTGCCCCCAGAGTGACTCTTTCTTCTTTTATTATTTATTAAGTAGTTGTAAAAAGGGATTACAATTTCATAGATTAGGTTATGAGTACAATACTTCTTAATCAGTGTTGTCCCTTCGTTTCCCCCCATATCCTCCTTGCTCCCTCCCTCCTTCCCCTGACCCTTTCTCCATTCTTAATCTACTTCTGCTCTGGAACTACTTGTTTCTGGTTTCTTCAGATTCTACTCTGCAAGATGGGAGGGAAATGGCTCGAGACTTCAGGTGCATTCTGCAGTTTGGCCACCAGAGGTCAGGTTGGCTTCGTGAAAGGTGCCCGGTCTGGAGGGGGCCCACTAGACGCAGGCTGCATCAAGGTGCTGCGGGGCACTAAGGCCATGTGGAATGTGACTACAACTCTAGCTGACCAACTGGCAGCAAGATGTACAAGAATGGTGAAGGGAATGAGGCATGGGACTCAGAAGGATGCTTGAGGAAGAAGAAACAACCAACCATCAAGGAAGGCATCTGACTAGGAGGCAATGCATGTATTCTGGGCAGGTCCTTCACACAGGTGCAACGATGTGACAGCCTCGCTGCTTCTCATTGGTTGGGCTCGCTCTTGTTTTCACAGCTGCCCATGACAGATGCCTGGAAGCTTACTGGAATGGGACTATGGAAGTTGCCTCTTGCCTTGACTTCCTGCCAAGGATCCTGAGCAGACATGTGGTGACCTAAGCAGTTTTCTTTCACCTTTGAGTATGTGTGTGCCCGCACGCCAGTACGGAAGCTTGAACTCAGGGCCTAGGCACTGTCCATTGGCTTTTTTGCTCAAGGCCAGTGGTCTATCATTTGTGCCACAGCTCCACTTCTACCTTTTTGGTAGTTAACTGGAGATAAGAATCTCAGGAACTTTCCTGTCTGGGCTGGCTTCGAACTGTGACTCTCAGATTTCAGCTTCTTGGGTAGCTAGGATTACAAGTATGAGCTACCAGTATTCAACCAACTTCAATCTTCTTGACCTCATCTCATTTTCTCCTCTTATCCCAGTGTCTGTCTGTGGACAGGCAGCTTGAAGTCCTGGAAATCTACTCAAGAGTACTGACTGGAGAGAGCCACTGGCCTCCTGTGTGTTTTTCTTTTTGTTGTTTGTGCTTGTATGCTTTTCTAAATCAGCCTCTCCTCATCTAGGGGACTGAGCTTTCCTCTCCCACCCTGTCTCCTACATGTCCTCCCCTTCCCCTGAACATTCCCCTAATCCCAAGCTCAGACTAGGGTGCCCACAGGACCACGGGGCTGTGTGCTGCCCCAGAGGCTAGCATTGGGAGTGGTAGGTTGTTCTGAAGCCCTTTCCTGTCTTCAGCTTCCGTTGTTTGGATGTTGCATGCACACTTGGCCATAATTTGGTCCAAAGTCAGGACATCTTGAAGAGAGCTGTGGGACCTTCCCAGAGTCCTGGCATCTCCTGTGTGAAGGCGGGGCTCTGACCCTTGGCAGAAATATGTATCACGATTCCGAACTCACCGTGCCGGGGTGTTTAGTTTGTTCTCCCTTAGTCGAATGGAACTTCCTGTTCTAAGAAAAATCACCCTCTAAATTCATTTTCTTGGCCCTCCCCCAGCTTTGACAGCATGATGCCGGACAAACTACAGTATAAATGAATCAAACAATAATGTTCTTTGCCTCCCCGGCGGCTCTCCCTATCCCCATCCAGCTTCTCTCCAACACAAGTTTCCTAGTGTGTGCAGGACGTGACTCTGGCTGCTGGCCTTGATAGGCATGCATAAGGTGGTTCTTTTTTATGTTACAATTCTCTGGGTCCCCAGGTGTGGGAAACAGTGCTTGGTAAGAGCTTCTAACAAACCACCAAGTACAGAACTTATAATCTAGTAGGTTGGGCAAAGAGAATAAAGAGTGTATTGGAAACAAAATTTGGGAGAGATTTTGGGGGTAGTTTCTACCTGATTCCAAGGGACAGACCCCAGGCCTGACAGCTGGGTTCCCCGGGGAGGATGGGAAGAGAGAAAAACCAGTAAGCACTGCGGAAATTGCAGACATGGTTACTTTGTGCAAACACTTGGAAAGCTCCTGTAGATCCGGCTCAGCTGGTGTTTACAGCTTTGGGGGAAAATGGCTCTTATGTTCTCTGTTTGCATCTCAGTCACAAGGGAGAAACTACCACAACCTGGTTAGACAAGGCAGTTCCATTCCCATCTCAGAGAGCAGAAAAAACTAAGGCAGAAAGGAAGACAGTGACCATACTAGATGAATGCAGGCACAGCCGGTCTTTGCTGGCTGCCCACGAGCTACCAGGCAGGGCCATTTGTGAACCAGGTACCTGGCTAGCATGGTGTCGTGGTCACCGCACAATGTGAATGACAATTCTGGGCCTGTTCCCTTACTTGGCATGAGAAAAGGCATGTGCTACCCCAGGACAACGAAAAGGGCCTCGAAGGGCTCAAGAAGTACAATCCATTGCTATTTTGTTCACAGCCAACGGCAAAATGGCTTTTGCCTCCTTGATGAACCTCTTTTCTCTCTAGGAAGGTCAAATACTAACTGCTAGATGCCACCCCATTTGTACCTTCATTAGAGTAGGGGAAAAATGTCTTCTTTCATCCTTCCCTTCTCTTTCTCCCTCCTTCACTCTCCCCTTCCCTCCCTCCATCTTGCTCTTTCTGGTTTTTTTTTTTTTTTGATCCAGTCTTGCTTTGGAGCCCAGATTGTCCTCAAACTCAAAATGTTGCTGTCTCCATCTTGCAAATGCTGGGATTACAATTGTCTATCACCACACACCACTCATCATGGCTCTTTACAAGGGCTCAGGAGGTAAAGAGGTAAATCTCAGGAGGTAAATCTTCTGTTATAGGTGTGTGCAGAAACTTGCTCTTTTGCAGTGTAAACCCATGACAGATTTTGTAAAAAACTGTCTGAAATAGATCAATCTAACTATGACCAAAACAGTGGCCCAGGGCTTTCTCTTCACTAGACACTCACATTGGCGGAGAGTTGGGATGTCAAGGTGGCCACCTTTTCCTGGGATGATTCCAGTTCCCTACGAAGCTTCCGGATTTGCTGCAAAAGGAAGAGAAAAATCGACTACTGATGGCAGAAGTAAAAGCTCTGGAGGGAAAATGGGGTGCAGTGGTGTTAACAAGCAGAGACCAAAGCTTTGCACCCTACCTCTGACTGCATCCTCTCCTCAGCCTGAAGGGAGTGCAGAGGAAAGAAAGAGAAAGCAGGTGGTTACTATGGCGGTGAAAAAGGCAGGCCTGGGAAACAGGGAGGGAGAGACTCAAAATAGTATGATTCAGAGGTACAGAGGTGCTGTCCTGGTCCCAGCTCCTCACAGGGCTGAGCGCAGAGCTCAGGGTTTACAGATTTCTCTGGTACTTATCTCTAGCTCTCTCTCTCTCAGCCAAGAAGGCTAGGAAAGGAAACTTTGGTTGTTCTGACAACCAATTCTTTTGTCATCCACTTGAAGGAGTAAAAATTAGAGGGCAAGGCTGAGCACCAGTGGTTCACCCTATAATCTTAGCTACTCAGTAGGCTGACATCTGAGGATCATGGTTTGAAGCCAGCCCAGGCAGGAAAGACTCCTATCTGTAATTAACCAGCCCAAAGCAGGAAGTGGAGGTGTGGCTCAAGTGGTAAAGCACTAGCTTTGAGTGAAAAAGCCAAGTGAGTGTGGGAGGTACTGAGTTCAAGCCTCAGTACTAACACACACACACACACACACACACCATAAAACAACCTAGGAATCAAAGGACATCTAAAAGTGTATGCAGCACCCCATAACATAATAAAACATTTGGTCAGTTCCGTACATTATTGAGGTCCTAGATGCTTAGAAACCTCATCTAACCTTGCCATCAACGCTTCTCAGCACCACAGGAAAAGGGCTTGATAACAAGGAGATCTTCCCTTTTCTCAACGGAGAGGAACACAAAGCACCAGAGTTGCTTAGGAGTTGGTGGTGAGGCCAGAAAGACAGACCCCTGAGGCGCCCAAATGAGTGGTCGGAGCCCAGGCACCTGCCTCTGCCCCAACCAAAGGGAGGGGAAAGGGAATGAGGGAGGGCAGGAGGGAGGGCAGGAGGGAGGGGAGAGCAGGGAGGGGGAAGGAAGGGAGGATGTAAATGCTCTTACTGAGGAGTAAGTGGAGGAGGCACTGGAGGCCAGGGAGAGCACGGAGCCATGAACTGAAAGAGAAGCAGAACACAGGGTTAGTGGAGCGTCCCCGGGCCCACGGGTGTCTGGCAGGAGACTAAGGCAGGAGTTTGGATTCTGGTTCTGGAGCAGCAGAGTCTCCCCACCCCCCCACTGCCCTGCACCCACCCGCTGGCATCCCAACAGCCCCAAGGCAGTCAGGAACCTGAGGAGAGGGGCCCAAATTGACAGCTTCCCTGCTGCTACCTCCTCCAGCAGCCCAGGCCTTGTGGGCCCCTGCTCAGCGTGCTCCGAGGCTCCAGAGACAGGAAGGGAGGTTTTCATGATCATCTGCCATCTTGTCCTCCCAGTCAGGGAAGTATTTTTATAAAACATCAGAAGGAGGGACTTTCTCATCAGAGCTGCTCAGAATAAATATCCCGGTTCTTTCTAGGCCTCTCCTGGCTCAGTACTGGGAATATTTATTCTGATCATTCAGTAGAGCCTATTGCAAGAACCGAAGCATGTCTGCAAGGAATGCTTCCCCCAATGAGCATCCTGAGAGTAATAATGGGGGTTCTAATGCACCCCAAGACCTGGTCTCCCAGGAGCAGTTTGCCAGTAGTCACACCTTGATCACCACCAACAAACAGATGGCCGTCCCAAAAGCTAATCTTTGGAACGTTCTGGAAAGAGCAACAAGATGCCTAGTTCTTTGTAAGGATTACATCCCTGCATGTCTGTTCTAATACTGGAGAGACTGTGGGGAGGAAAGACTCCAACTCGAACTTGGAGGACAGAGGCTCTGGTTTTCTGAGCATCCTGATGGGGCACCATATAACCCGATCCTGACTTCCCTCCCCTGGTCCCTGGCTAGATGCACCATCCCCAAGCCCCAGTGCTACACAGGGCCACCCAAGGTTTCTGGGCCCCCAGACCCTTCAAAGGTATGGGAAAAAAAGAACTGAAATGGCCCAAACTGATGTCCTATGGATCGTCTATGTGTTGTGTGGTGGCAGTGGAGGTGGTACGGTGGGTGAGGGGACCCAGCAGAGCTGGAATGAGTGTGAACCGCGCTGGCATGAAGTCTCACCGTCGTCCGTGGGGTCTCGGAAGGATCCTGACCGAATCATTCCCTTGGGTCTCTCGGCCAGGGACAGGGTGCTCCCCAATTGGGAGCCGCTGTACAGCTCGAAGGCCGCCTCGTGGGTGGGGATGCTGTTGGAGCGGGTGATTCTTGGCGTGGTGGCCGCAGTGGGACTCACTGGAAGGACAGAGGGGAAGGGGACAGGAGAGGGAGGGGGAGGCGGGAGAAGAGGCAGGGTCGTCAGCTCTGGTCCCTTGGGGGCCGGAGCACCAGGAGCATGAGAGGCAATGGGAAGAGGGGGGGAGAGGAAGGGGCGGGTGGGGCAGTGCTAGTGTGCAAGCAGCTGGTGGTTAGGAGCGGGGTGAGGGGGGTGGGGGGGATCCCTCCTGGGGAGGTTGAGCCCTAGTGGGGAAGGACCCTGCATCTGGGATGAGGGCCTCCCCTCAACCTTGCCTGCCTTGGATCTGTTGTTTTTGAAGGTTAGGCTGGGGGCCTTGGCAGCTTTCCCGAAACCTTCACATCACGGGGATGTGCTTGGGATGAGGATGGATGTTGTGGTTCCCTAAAACACAGCTGGCAGCTTGGGAAGACTCGGAGCTCCAACCAAGACTCAGAGCCGAACGATGAGAAAGAACCAGCCGGCAAAGGGACCAGGCTGTGGGATCCAGTGGGATCCATTATAGGAGTGAGAGTCTCCCTGCAAAACGGGGGGGCCCACTAGGTCACTTTAGGTCAGCTCTAGAGCATCAAGAAATGCGGCCCTCTCTGCCCAACACTCCCCTGGCTTGAAGATCAGACAGACAGCAGCTAAAAGTGTTGGTTAGGCTATGGACTCTACTTTAAACCTGGGCTCTATGGACTCTTGGAAAGCTACAGAACCCTTCCCCCTTTGCCTGTTGCTGGAAAGACAGCCTTTCCAGGCTTGTGCCCTCGTGGAGTTCATTCGCCTATTCTTTTGCCCATACACTGGCACATAGATGCCTAGCCTGCCTGTAAAGACCTGTGCAAAAAGATTCTCCATCCGGGTCTTGAATCTACAAGGAGATCACTGTTTAACCCACTTCCTCAGTCTGTAGCACATGTACTTTTCTTCTTGTTTTGCCCTCAGTGCAGATGGAAAACAAGCCTACCCCATCCTCCATTTAATAGGCTTTCAAAGACCAGATGACCCTGACCAAAGGCACAAATGACCCTGATTCCCAGTCTTTCCTTAAATTCCCCACAGTCATTGCACAGGCAGGTTACAGGTTGTCTTACATCAACTGCTTCCTTTCATTCAGCTGAAAGATGGGATGAACTTGAAAGAGATACAGCAAGTGAACAACAGGCTCTGTCCTCAAGAGGCTCCTAGGAGGCCAGTCCTGACCCAGTGCTTTCCAGAACCAGGCTGCCGTGCCGCCATGCCAGGCCAGGCTTCCTCCCCTCCCTGCCTCTGAGTCACGGAGCCAGTTCTTTCTCTCCCAGCTTTCCCTTGTCAGGCTTTCCAGGGGGTATGACCAGGGCATGTCTTGGTCACCCCTGCCTTCAGGGACAGGATGACCCTGGCTCAGGCAGAGCAGTTTGGGAATCTGGATTTCCCTGGGTGTAGAGGAAGATCTCAGCCTTCTCTATCAACAACCTTTTTCCCTGCTTGCTTCCCAACAGCCTGACATGGCAGCACTGAAGCTGGACCTGATAGCATTGACCTTATCAGCTGGCCCCGGAAGGTGCTGGTGTGGCAGCGACTTTTGAGAAGCTCCCTGTCTCCAGGGTCCTTAGGACCCTTAAGGACTTGTCTCAAGGGGTAACTTTTCAGTTCAGGACCTTGGAAAGCTTTGCCTTCAGTCCTAGCTTGGGTGGGTAAACTGAGGCACCTCGAAGCAACCCAATAGAGCATGAGAAAAAACGGAGATGAAAAGTCCAGGGCCAGCTTCCTGGCTTCACCTTCAGGGTGAACCCCACTTCATCCCCTGTCACAGTGCGCGGCCGGAAGCACTGACCTATGTTGGTGAGCTGGCCCTTGGCACTCAAGGACATGGAGAGCGCAGGGGGGGACGGCAGGTCTGCCTGGTCATCGGATTCCGGCAGCCCCCCGATGGTGTGTGAGTGTCGCCTCTCCTTGGTCTCCTCCTGGGACTGAAGCTGGTACCTGCAGGAGCAGTAGAGAAACTCGGTCTGGGCCACTACAAGGCCACACTAGGGGCTTAGCTAAGTGGACGTGTCTGAGCTGGGCTGGAGTGGGAGATTCTGAAAATGGTGCACGAAAAGGAAGGGGCATCCTTCCTAGAACCTCTGGGCCATGCTGAAGGACCAGCAGGTACTCAAGAGAGCTCCTGGGTGGGGGCAGAAAGGATGGAGGGGGCCTTAGAACTTCTTCTCCAAGGCTCAGGACAGAGCTTGATGACTCCACGAGTAGCCTCTCAGAGCACAGCAGTCCCTACCCAACTGATCATGGAGGACCTGGTGTCTCCTGTCCCTTGCACATCTCAATGGCCCCAGGGGTACACTGGGAGCGAGGAAAACAACAGCGAGGAAGTTCAGGCAGGATCAAGATGGCACAGGCCAGCACAGGTGAGTATAGCATTTCCATGTGCAAACCTGTTTCTCCCCTGTCACTGAGGAAGGCCATTTACTGTAGCAGCTGACTCACAGGCTGGTAAGCTTGGGCAGGGTGCTGGCTGGCTTTAGTGAAGGACTGGATACAAATACCTTGGCTACAAAGCCAGTAACTTCATGCATGGGGCCTGGAACAAGTCAGGTTGGGCTTTTCATAGACTGAGGGTTTTTACCTGAGCCCTTTCTTGGGAAGGGTATTCCGATCCCGCTGATTACTGTGGAGATAAAAAAGAGAGAGGGTTGGGGAAGAGAAGATGTGGGTCTATCTTAGAAAACAGAGGTCTGAGAGGTCCAGACTCAGAACATGGGACATCAAACTATGAGATCCTTTACTGCTATGAGCAAAATAAGACGAGACAACCAAGGAAGCCACCAACGTGGCTTACAACTTGGGAAATTTACCTGACATGGTAAATGTTTTCTGGATTAGGAGTTAAGGTATAGTTTGCTATTTAATAGATCACATTATAGTGGGTTAAAGAAAAGGAGATACAACAGGAAGGGAAAACTAATGATGAGATCTTGGAGAAGTAATTTAATATTTTGGGCACTGGTTTTCCCATGCACATGAGAATAAAACAAATACCCAACCCACGCATCATGGAACTGTTGTGAAATTATTTAAAACATACAAACAAATCACAAAGTATCATTAGTAGAAAAGTGAAGTCCAAAGCACTGAGGCAGGCTCAGAGTCTGCTGTCTGCACCCACCTACCTGTCCAATTGTCCTGCCCTGGGGCTTCCACTCCAGGTCAGCTCTTCAGTCTCTTCTTCTGAGGGGGCAGCAGGGGCAGCAGGAGGGGTGGGGATTGGGGAGCTGCTGGGAAAGGCACTGGGCAGGCTCATTGGCATCTGGAGGGATTCCATGCTCCTGTGCAGGCCTGAGAGTTTGGGATACATGCGGCTCTCCTTGGGGACACTGAAACCGCTCATGAGCTCCAGGCCCTGGGAGAAGCTGGCTGAGTTAATATTGAGGATGGGTGCTGGGCTGGGGGTGAAGCAAGAAGGGAGAGGACCCCCAGTTGCTGAGCTGGTAGCATGCAGATCTGGGACCTTTGAAGCAAGGGTGTCGCTGGACGTTGGAAGATCCAGACTGTTGGAGTTGACCTTGTCTAGATTGGCTAGTGAGGGGGGCTTGACAAAGCTCTTAGCTGTGGCCCTGGAAGAAGTGGAGAAAAAAATAAAGTAGGATGACAGAATTATAGGTAAGAGTCAAGCCTCTAGTTTCCTTGTCTACTGGCTATTTACTAGATACAGAGGTTAATCTTGATTCAGTTGAGAAATCAATTAGAAGATGTCATATATGATTTAGGGCACCTTTAATTTTGTGTGTGTGTGTGTGTGTGTGTACACGCGCATTCCTGTAATGGGGCTTGAACTCAGGGCCTCACACTCACTTAACTTTTCTGCTCAAGACTGGCATTCTACCAGACTTAAGCCATACCTCTACAATTGTAGTCTTAATTAGGAGCATAAAAGATGAACATGTATAAACAAACATAGTAAAGTCTACCCATACAGGTGCTAAAAGGAGGGTAAATGTTGACAGCAAATGGTATAAGCAATTAAGTTTTGATTATAGTTTGTTTTTTTTTTTACTTTTTGTTTATATGCCATCACTGGGGCTTTGAACTCAGAGCCTTGTACTCATGCTTGGCTTTTTCACTCAAAGCTGGCACTCTACCACTTGAACTGGTCAATTTTTTGCTGGTGAATTGGAGATAAGAGTCTCACAAACTTTCCTGCCCAGGCATTGCAAACCCTGAGTCTCACATCTCAGCATCCTGAGTACCTAAGGTTATAGACCCTTGAATTGTTTTGAATGAGGGAGCAGAAACTTGATATACCAGGGGCAGGAGATGAGGATAAAGGCCCATGCAAAGGCTTAGAGACAAGAGTGGACAGTCCAGGCCATACTAAGTCTAAAGAGGATAGGGATATGAAACAGAATAACAAATCAGAGCTGGGCACTCGTGGCTCATAGCTATCATCCTAGTTATTCAAGAAGCTGAGATCTGAGGTTCACAGACTGAAGCCAGCTGGGGCAGGAAAGTCTGTGAGACTTTTATCTCCAATAAACTACCAAAAAAGCTGGAAGTGGAACTTTGGCTCAAGTGGTAGCGGACTAGCCTTGAGCAAAGCTCAAGATCAATATAGGAACAACAACAACAACAACAAACGAATAAATCAAGGAAACAAGGAGAAGCTCCCTAGTGTAGGTACCTGAGAGGGGTTGGTGGCAGCTCTGCTAACTTGGTGGCTGGAGGGTGACTTGCTTGGTTCTTGGGTGTACTTTCTGGGGAGCCAATGCTCTTCAGGGAGATGTTGTCTGAGTCCAAGGCCACTGCCTTAGCTTTGGCCTTTTCCTTTTCCCGATCTGTCTGATTGACAGGAGCTGGAGTGGTCCGCCCACTGGCGACCTTGGAAGGCTCCTTCAGTCTGGAGGGTGTAAGACCTCCCTGCTTCGTGCTGAGGAGACTGGGGTCAATGCTGCTGCTCACAGGGCGAGGTCCACCCCGACCGCCGGTCACACTCATAGAACTGGACTTAGCAGGCCTGGGCAGGCTGCGGTACTGGATGTTGGAACGAGCTCCAGGAGCCAGGAATCCAGGCTCTGCACTGTTGGACACATCCAGGCTAGTCTTGCGTCCATTTACCGGCTTGACAGGGATGCCTGAGGACTTCTGGATCTTGCTAAGAGTGGCTGAGCCACCCGTCTGCATGACTGTGGCTGTGCCTGTAGCAGGAGGAGGCTTCTTGTAGCCAAAGGATCCTGAAGTGGAGGGACGTGCGATGCCTGAGGGGGGTTTCTTAGCATCACTCAGGCGGTCCCGGCCAGCATCTGAGGAGGAGCGTTGTAACCCAGTATTCTTCACTGCCAGCTTACCCTTGTCTGTAGCTTTGCCTTCAGATTTGCCTGCAAGACGACAGGAAATGACATTAACAGGAGCCAAGATCTTAGAAGTCTTTTTCTCTCTCTGCATGGGAGAAGGGAATGTTATTAGTGTAGAGAATTTTGGAGGCCTCCCACATGGGTGCGCAGAGAGTGGATACGTGTCTTGCTAGAGGGACTCTGAGCGGGAGAGGTGAGGGGCTAAGCTTTTGCTTTGGTTTGTTTTTATTGTTATGCTTTTCTGTTCTCAGAGTAGGATGGTCTGCTTTGGTTAAAATGGCAGAGGCGATCACAAAGATGACTGATAAGGAAATGTATCTAATGACTGGTCAAGAAAGGGAAAAAAGAGGGCTGGGAAGGTGGCTCTGTGGTAGAGTGCTTGCCTCATACGCATGAGGCCCTGGGTTCAATTCCTCAGCACCTTATAAAAAGAAAGGGAAAAAAGGACAGGGAGCAACGGAACAGGGTAGAACATATCTAGTGGCAATGAGAGAGTTGAAGGAAATGTTGATGAAGGCCACTAGTGATATAAGGGGTCAGCTTTGGGAGCAATGGAAATTGCTCACTCTATTCATCTGATTTACTTTTCCTTAGGACAGTCCTGGAATGTCAAGGAATCATCTTATGAAGCTAAGTACACATGGGAAAGGAAAGAGTCTCTGAACAGAAGATATTCTCTACCTCTTCTACCTCTCATTAGTTGTATGATGGTAGCCCGACCGCTTGACCTTTTTATTATTCTGTTTTGGTTTTGTTTTGATGTGCCAGTACTGAAGCTTGAACTCAGGTCCTCATGTTCTTGTTTGGCTTTTTTTTTTCTCTCAAGGCTAGTGCCCTACCATTTGGTCACACCTTCACTTCTGACTTTTGGCTGGTTAACTGTAGGTAATCTTTTGGATTTGTCTGTCCAGACTGGATCCTCAGATCTCGGTCCCCTGAGTAGCTAGGATTACAGGTATAAGCCAGCAGCTTATACCTGGCTTGCTACTCGACCTCTTTAAGTTTGTTTTCCTATCCATAAAATGGAGCTAATAATACACATCTTCCCTAATTTAAGAGGACCATCACAAGATCAGATGAGAAAGCATTATGCAAACACTTGTTACCACTTCATGGATTAATGGCCTTTAGAGGAAGAACCAAAGAACTAGGTCAATGCCCTTATCCCCTTCTTTATTTTGGGCTCACCTGCAACTTTGAGGGCACTCTGGGCTGTATGAGTGATAGGGGAGGTGACGGCCACCGGTGGGGTCTTGCCCTTCTTCAGGGACCCCGGATGTCCCAGGCTGATGGGCTTCTTCAGCTCTCCACCCTTGGACGAGTCGTCGCAGCTCTCAGGCCGCTCCCTCCGCCACTTAGAAGTCCCAGGCTCCATCTTCAGGCTGCCACTGTCGTACTCCAGTTTCTTCGGGGTTTTCTCCTCTGATTCACTAAACCAGCTCAGCCCACTTTCTGCCAGAGAGCGTTTCTCTGAGTCTGTGCGCAGCTAAGGAGAAGAGCAAGAGGCAGAGTGAGAAGAGCTAACCCAGGGGATTTAGTTTGGTGGGCAGGCAGCCCAGAGTATTATGTCAATCCAAGGTCTCTACCTACATGTCTAGGGGCTCCACAGAGAAGGTAACATGAGTCTCCCTGGGTTTCTTTTCTTTTCTTCTCCAGTTGGAAGAGCTCTTACCCATAACACTCCAGATAGGTGTGAACATAGAACTATGACAACATTTACTGTCTTGGAAGCCTTAGCTTTTTTTCTTTTTCTTTGGCAGCTCCAAAAGAACTCGGCTAAAATCCTGTAGGATTTTAGGACTCCCATGGAGTGGGTGTGTATGTACAAACGCACACACAGCATTGCCCAGCTTGCCTTGAAGCTCATCATGTTTGCACACTCACGTACCACTACTGTGGAGTTCCTGCGAGAAGCAGTGGGAGTCGTTGGGAGGGAGTTGAGTGAGGAGCTGGCATTGAACTCTTCTGAGCTGAGGTTGTCCGAAGCATCACTGAGCCCACTGCTGAGGGAGCTGCTCTCGTCCCAGCTGCAGGATGGGAGAGAGAACACAGGGAACACAGAAGACAAGGTGAGAGATAGGCTTTCCATATTGATGGAAGAATGGTTTTAGATCTTTCTAGACCGTCCCTCCAGAAGAAACCTACGGCTGTGCAATCTGGGTTTACCAATAACTCAAGCATGAATCACTGGCGCCCCTATACCACTTTCTTGTTCAATTCTTGTTTGCTATTTCACTGTTCTTTGCTGATCTATATTTAGCCTCCTAGAACCTTCCTTCAAAGGTTTTATATTCAATGTCTTTCCCTGAAAACTCCTTCAGCCTTCACTTCTGGTTTAGAACCTAAAATTGAACACAGGAGCATGTGTTCATACTTGTAGGAATTAATTTCTAAGTCCTCATATCTGTGTTTCGAGCAGGCTTGTTTCTGAGCTTTGCATGTGTGCAAAGACTAAAGAGGCTAGAGATGATTTTGTGGGGGGGGAGAGAATGATTTCTTGGGGGGAGAGAATGAGCTGGTATTTGGAAAACTATTCCTTTTTTTGATTTATTTTGAGTTTCAGATTATGGAACAAAAATCAGCCATACAAGTCATCTAAGAGCCTGGCCCAGATTTCAGCTGGCCTCCCTCTAATTCCTGTGCTGGGAATAGGAAAGTGGGTGGTTTGGACATTTGGCTTTGCTTGCTCTGTAGTGATTTATTTGTATTTGTATAAATACACTGAGAAAGAGCAAAGAAAGCATGAGGATTAGAACACACTGAAGAGTTATTTAGATTTTATTACTATTAAATATAGCCATTATTAAATGACACCCAACCCTCCCCCAGGACATATGTTAAGTCTCTCTTTTGTGCAGGGCTAACATATCACCTCCCCCATTTCACAAGAAGAGGAGATGGAAGGAAGATCAATGCTGATTTTATGATCCTATCAGCTCTTATGGGTCCAGATAAGATCTCTGGCGAGCAAACAAACAAACTATTCACAGCATGTTCTCTTAGGTCAAAGACAGAGGAAGTCTGTAGCACTGAATCTTTCATCTGAGATTAATTATCAGTAATCAAGGTCCTGGAACACAGTAAGCTCTTGCTACAGTCCAGACTTCCAAAATGAACCTTCCTTCGCTCTACATTATGGCAAGCATATAGTGCTGAAAGGCAGCCGGAGTTTATCTTGTTGGCGTTCAAGCCCTCCTGTTCCAAAATTCCTCCTGAGCTCTTTCCTGTGAGAAAAAAAAGTATAAGCCTAGTATCAAAGGAGATTGGCCAGAGAATCTAAGGATTTCCTAGCGAAATTCTCTCCCATGTTCTAAATAAAAGGACAATTATGTTGTTTTTACCTACAAGGGTAAGCATCTCCTTTGGCGCACTCCACTGGAAAGAACACACGTGTGCTAGTACTAGAATCTGAACTCAGGGTCTGTGTGATGTCTCTTAGTTTTTTCACTAAAGGCTGGCACTCTACCACTTGAGCCACACCTCTAGTTTCTCAGTTTGTCTACTCAAGCTAGCTTTGAGCCCAGATCTTTAGATCTCAGCCTCCCAAATAGCTAAGGTGATAGATGTGAACCACCAGCACCCACTTACTTTCTATCTTAATTTTACCTTGTACCTAAGTTTTGTTTTGTTTTGTTTGTTTTTTGCCAGTCCTGGGGCTTGAACTCAGGGCCTGGGCACTGTCCCCGATCTTCCTTTGCTTAAAGCTAGCACTATACCACTTGAGCCATAGTGCCACTTTCGACTTTTTCTGTTTATACTGAGGAAGCCAAGGCTTCATGCATGCTAGGCAAGCGCTCTTCCACTAAGCCACATTCCCAGCCATTGTTTTGTTTCTAATGACAAGGACTCACCATATAATTCAGGCTGACCTGGAACTATGCAACATAGGCTGCCTTTGAACTTTTAATACTTATTTCTTGGCTTTCTGAGTGCTGGGATTACAAACATGGGACACCACACCTGGCTCGAAGTGTTGTTTTTAATAGCATATCATTGTATCTTTTAAGGAGACAGTATCTTCATTCTCTAAGACATCCATCCATCCATCCATCCATCCAGAAGGGCAGGATTACAATCTTTGCAGTTTGTGGTTCCCATTTGCTTTGTTCTGTTTGTAAACTGATGTTGCAGGCTTTCTAGTATGACAAATGATGTTTGGCCATTTGCTCCCATGTAAGATTAGGACATTCTCTATGTTACTAGAAACTCTACACATAGAGTAGGATCACTATGGCTTTAGGATAGAGAGGTGAGGATTGGACTGATTCATTTAAATGTTTTTCTCTTGGGCTGATCAGATTTCTTCAAGATGAGTCATCCAAACTCTCTCTCTCTCCCTTCCTTCCTTCCTTCCTTTCTTTCTGCTGGCCCTTGGGCTTGAACTCAGGGCTTGTCCCTGAGCTGTTTTTGCTCAAGGCTAGCGCGTTAGCCCTTGAGCCACAGAGCCACTTCTGCCCTTTTCTGTTATGTGGTGCTGAGGAATCAAACCCAGGGCCTCATACATATGAGGCAATCACTATCACTGAGCCACCTTCCCAGCCCAAGCAGTTACCTTTCTGAGAGTAGTTGGAGGAGAGGATCCCAGAGTCTAGAGACTTTTTACATAAATGTTCAAACCATTCTCCTGATTTTAGTTTTACTGCTATTTCCACAAAGGTATCTGATGCTGTCCCTGAGCTCTTTTGCTCAAGGCCAATTTGAGCCACAGCATCACTTTTGGTTTTCAAACTTTTTTGGTCAAACTTTTTGAGGTGTATAAGGTGTCAATATGAGTTGCTGCCAGCTTCTTCAACTGCTAGGCTTTGCATTTAGCTTTATGGTTAATAGATTAGTTCACACTTGTCATTCTGATTTTCAGCATCCCCAAATCTTATTATTCCTCTTTCTTATGTAGCCACGCAAAAGGAACGTCCTTTTTTTTTTTTTTGTATAATCAGCTACTGCAGAAAAGAAACTAATGAATGCTGCCCATTCTGAAACATACAACTCCTTAGTATAAGAATAGAAAGTCTTTGGAAAAGATTGCAGCATTTATCAGCTAGTGAATTGGAGCGCAGGGGTAAATGCCTAGTCACTGAGGTAGCAGGGAGAAAGAAAGGTAGCTTAAATATGGCACCAAAAAGAATAATAAGGAAGACAGGGCTCAGACTCATGGCAGGGTATTACCTATGCTGTTTGCTAGAACGAACACTTTTATGTGTGTGTACCAGTTCTGGGGCTTGGACTCTGGGCCTGAGCACTGTCCCTGAGCTTTCTCACTCAAGGCTGGTGCTCTACCACAGCTCCACTTTCAGCTTTTTGATGGTTAACTGGAGATAGGAGTCTCATGGAGTTTCCTGACCAGGCTGACGTCAAACTTCAATTCTCAGATCTCAGCCTCCTTAGTAGCTAGGATTACAAGTGTGTCCACGGGCACCCACGTAAGAAAGAATTTCCATGTTCACCCTAAGGTAGATTTCTTATCACCCTCCTATTTTTCTTTGTATTTTTTTCTCACATCTATCTTTTTCTTTTCTTTTTTTCTGCTTATGTGGTGCTGAGGAATCGAACCCAGGGCCTCAGGCATGCAAGGCAAGCGCTCTACCACTGAGCCACCTTCCCAGCCCCTCACATCTATCTTAAGTGCAGATAACAACTGGGTAGCAACAAGTATGACCTCAATCTACTAGGACACAAAAGTAGAAGAGAACTCAAGAGACTTTTTCTTTTACAGTCTAATCTCTTCCTAAGTCCAAACAACAATCACTAACAGGCAAGACATACCTGAGAGAAATGATGTACAAGTTTTTATTAGGGAGAATTTCTCAAAGAACTATGAGACCTTATCATTTGTATCTATCTTCAGAATAGAAGAGGAAATGAGTATGATAAGCCTATGAAAGATGAGGTTAGATACAAAGAGGCCAATGGAAATGAATTCCTTTGTCAGTGGAATTTTCTAGAGCAGAGCACTGGAACAGATTACACAGGTAAATGAAAGAATTTTCTCACAGGATATTTATTTGCCCATTTGCTGTTCTTCTATATCCCCGATCCTTCCTCCACCATTTACACTTTTCATTCCACTAACAGCATCCTCTTTTCTTCTGTTCTCTCATCAAAACGTGGGCATGTCTTCACCTTCTCTTTTCTCCATCTTGTTCATCAAGAACTCTCACTTGTCAGGCACTAATGGCTCATACTTGTAATACTAGCTACACAGGAGGCTAAGATCTGAGGATCTGAGGATCTAAGTCATCCCAGACAGAAAAGCCCACTTATCTCCAATTCATCCACAAAATACCAGAAATGGAGGTGTGGCTCAAGTGGTAGAAAGCCACCCGTGAGTGAAGAAGCCAAGTAAGAGGTGAAGAACCTGAATTCAAGCTCCAGTACTAACACAAAAAGATATCCATGAACCACATGAACATAGTACAGAGATTCAACTTACCGCCAGACCTAGAAAATTTGGTTTTAAGTGCTACTAACCATATCTAAAGTTAAATTCTATTTTGACTGGGCAAACAGCCAATGAGCATCTATTATTTATAATAGTGCCACTTGCATTTAAAAAAAAAAGAGAGAGCAGCTATCCAGAATGATCTTATAATCCAAATGTAGTAGAAAATTGGTAAATAAAACAAATAACACCCTGGAGATGAAGCTAGCATACATAAAGACTATAGAGAGGGAGTGATTTAGTTCCCTGGTAAGATTGAAAAATACGTTTTTGTCAAGCTAGAATACTGATCAACCTAATGCTATCCCATCTCTCCATTCCCATTCACTCCCAATTCCTGTGTCTCCAGGATTCACCCAACCTCTTTACAGAAACACAGGGTTATAGGAGGAGTTGGTCCCATCATGACTGTGCAGTGGTCTGTGTGCTGCTGAAGATTCTAGCATGATCCCAGAGATTTGACATTAATGGACACAAATCCCATGTATCTTATGAGAATTTTTTTCTTTCTTTAAGGCCCAAGTCTTAAGGAAATACCCATCAAATACTAGAGCTGACACCTTTATGTATCCTTGAAGAATGACTGTC